CCTGACCTAAGGAGGATTTTATTTAGGGACGATTTTAAGTATAATTTTAATTGGAACACAGCTTCGAATATTTGGTTTTAATTTGGTTTTAGAGGGGTTTTTATTTTTATTGATATGTATATCTGTTTTAATATGCTGTGCACCGCCCTGAGTCCTGCGGGAGAAGGGCGGTATAGAAATTAAAATAATAAAATAATAAAATAAATAAATCCATCATCCACTTTGTTTAAAGAGGATTTAAGAAACCAATTTTTCCCTTTTAATATGAAACCCTGGTTCCCAGTATAGTTATAGTTCTATATACCATAGTTACAAAGAAAGGTATCACTAAGTATCAATAATATACTGGCTACACAGAACTGTACTAAATATTTAACAATGTGCTTTTAAGAGTGCCAAATCTAATTAGGATACTTTGAAATTATTCATGCATTGTTAAGTGTGATTTAATTGCAACATGTTTCAGGAAGTTTTTTTTATAACAGTGAAACATTTTAGCAAATGAAATGGATTCTCAAATGCAACTACTTCTGGAAACAAAAAGACAATAATACATGTATGCCTTTTTGTTGTTGAAGCTCATTTCAGATGTTATATCGTGTCAATAGCAAGATGAAGCAATGATAAATGTCAGAACTGTATGAAACTGATGTCACATATTAACTCCTTTTTTCTCACCCTACATGCCCCTATTAGTAGGACAGTGAACCAACTTTTACTCTTCCTTTACTGACATTTTACAGGTCAAAATTAAAGTGTTCTCATTGATTTTCTTCTATCAGACAAGAAACTAGTTATCTTATATAATACTGCTGGCTTTTGTGTTGCAGCAATAAAAATTCATCAACAGATTATTAGGGGACTGATAAGAGCAAACACATTGAAGATCCTTTTATTTTAACCAGTCATAATTACTGATATTGGTAGATAATCTCACAAATTGGTGTCCACTCTTATCAATTTAGACTTATTGCAGTTTTTTATTAACCAAATAAAACCCATTTGAAAACTATGGATGTTCAATTGTTTTTCTTAAAATTGATTTATAGATATTTTTTTTTAGCATATTAGTATTTATTAAGCCCTCAATTTAATTTTGAATAGTTAAACAAGTTTAACAAAATAAAGTTAAAATTAGTCTGTGAAAATGCTTTTATCATTGATACATTTCAGTTTAGTCTTATTTTAAAGATTATACTTATACCTTTGATTCCACTTATGCATGCATTTAATCCTTTCTTGATTTTTAATTTTACGTTTTCTATAATGAAGTTCTATTAATCACTGGCCAAGGACTGTTATAAATTGATATGTGATTAATTTCATACCACAAAGTCTGCTGAGGAAAAGATTAATATTTATTGTGAATTAATCACTTGTAAAAATTGATTTTAAGCAGAGGGCTATTAAAATTAATCCAAGACTTGCTGTTTCCTGCCTTAAGACTTACTGAAAAATCAGTATGTCAGAATACCATTTTTCCATGAATCCAACTAAAATTTAAGGTGTTTCAGAATCTGTTATCCTTCATAGCTCACAAGGGCCTGCTACTTAATATTTAAAATGCACACTACACAGATTCAACTCTTTCTCCTTTATTTGCATTTTTCAAATTGCTGGAACAGCAAGTGTGTCATGGAAGGGAAATCCCACCCAACCTGATCACAAGCAGCACAAAGTCCCAAATACTTGAGTTATCGTAAACAAAACTAATCACAAGAACCACAAATAAATAAGGACAATGGGGAGAAAACTATTTGGAATACAGCAGTGTGGGTGCAAAAAGGGATCTCGGTAAGGCAAAGGGGAAAAAAACATTCAAAATGAGAAAATGTACACCATTTTACATTACAAGGTAAGGTTATTTCTGTCCACTAGAAATGTAAAAGGGAATGGTTGTTTTCTTTGAGGAGATATAGCTTTAACAAACTTCAATGTAGATATTCTCAGCAGTGTGCAAAACACAGGATGTCCATCTCTATCCAGTATGGAAACAATACCTCTATTTACTTACAGCTTGTCTCCAGGAATATTAGATTGAGGGGAGAAAAACAAGGGGCTATACAAGGTAAAGGCTCAGGACCAAGTAGAATTTAATACATCATGTTAGGGATTGGGATGATGACTGATGGAATAGGCAGAATAATGGTATACACAAGCTGGTCACTTTTTTTTTGATAAAATGAGATTCACGTGAACCGGCCACTATTCTGTCTGGGGCACAGAGATGGTAGGCCCCTTGGGGTCATCAAATCGGTCCATAGTCTTGAGGCTCATGATCATGTGGAGACCGTAGGTGAAGATAGCAACGAGAAGGAACGAAGTGAGCAAACCCATCCAAAGTCCAGGAGAAAAGAAACCAGCACAGTCACTAGCATCAGAAAATGTTTCATTTATCAGTTGGTAGCTTTGAATCTGCAAGGACAGAGAAGATTGTATTAGTGTTGCAGGCTGGTTTAAATCTTCCTATACCTCGCTATATTCCCAACAGGATCTTAACAAATTCCATTACTACAGTATATAAAAGCAGTTCTAGCTCAGTGCCATTTACAGAGTCTACCAGAAGTCAGAGGATGTGGGAGATTGGCCTTGATCCCTGGCTGCCAATCAGAAAGCAACCAAAGCTCATTCTTCACACAAATACCAGAGTAATTTATTAGAAAGAAAGGTGATCCATTGATAGAAGCACAAAATGAGATATTTCTGGAAAAGTCAGACAGCTTAGCTTTACAAAAGACTAGGGTTTTCTGTCACCATTTCAAGTCAACTGGGATGTATTCTCCCCACTCAGCATACCTGAAATCTCATGATTGTCAGTTTCCAGTTGGTGGCATTTCTGGGGACCAAGATGCCCCCCAAAGATGGTTCACTGCTGACACAACCACAGCTGAAGGAATAGTTGGTAGGGGCTGTGATATAGGTAGCATTGAAGACAGCAGGTGGTTCTCCAGGTCTGACCAGTTCCACCGTGTGGAGGACAAACCAGTTCCGCTTAGAAACAGGGTAACTGGCATTTGTCATTTGAAATCTGCGATGTGGGAAGAGAGAGAAAACCAAGAGATTTGTGTATGTGAGAGACAGAAAGAGTGAGAGGGAGGAAAAGAGGGAGGGAAAGGGAGAAGAAGAGAAGAGAGAGAGAGCGCAAAAATACCCTGGATAGTTCTTAGTAACCATTGTAATCCTCTGGGTCAATCCTTGAATTAAACTAGCCCAAAACCACCTAGTAGTAGCAGGTATCACGTGTCTTATATTCATTACAACACTTTGTCTCCCACTTTACATGGGATTTCTAAAAACGCCTTTAAATTTTCATCAAGCCTTAATACTATTGCTAAAAGAGAAAAGGTGGGCTGGCATCTTCCTGGGACTCAGGATCACATTTAATATTTGGGGAGTTGGTGTGTGTGTGAAAGGGCTCCAGTGGACAGTGTTGCCTCATATATATGGACTGAAACAGGATGTTCTGCTTTTTCTCCATATTTTTTTTTGCAGGACATTTAGCAGGAAGCACCATATTTTAAAAGTATTAGATCTAATTTAGTAAAGAGATTATTTCTGTATATTGCCCTTTCAAAATTGTACCGTGTTTCCCCGGAAATAAGCCCTACCCTGATTTTTGGGAGTGGGTCTAATATAAGCCCTGCCTCAAAAATAAGCCCGCCCACTCCGTCCCACCTCACTGCCGCAATGGGGCAGGAGAGCATGTGTCATGCCACTGCCGCCACAATGAGGCGAGGCAGGTGGTGGAGGAGATGGAGCTGCCCCACGCGCCCCGCACCTGACTGAAAAAGTTTAGTCAGATCTTCCAACTTCTCGCAAAAAAAAAAAAAAAATCTCGTGAAGTTGGAAGGTTTGACTGAACTTTTTTTAGACCCACAAACTTCGTTTCCCTGAAGCAGGAGGGAAACGCACCAGAGCTGGAAAGCAGGTTAGTGAAGAAATGCTTTCGGAAAGAGAGAGGAGTTGGACGGTGGTGCACCAAACTCTACAGCAGCACCGAGAGAAGCGGCAGAAAACAGGGCTGCCATTTCCAGAACAGAGAAGGGAGACACGGGGTGATGCTGTTGTGAGCGGCTGCAGAAGAAGGCCGGCAGCCACACAGGCTCCTGCTGGGCAGGGCTGTTGGTGCCGCTGCCATTGAGGCGAGGCAGGTCTCACAAAAAATATAAGACATCTCCCAAAAATAAGACCTAATGCCTCTTTGGGAGGTAAAAATAAGACCGGGTCTTATTTTCGGGGAAACACGGCTAGGTAACCATGCCACCATTTGGCTACTGTAGTAAAAAGGGCCTTTAAAGAGGAAGACCTGGGCCAAGCTGAACTCATGATCTCTACACAGTTTTCTTGGAAGTCACAGGGGGTGGTTAGGAATAACTCAAGGGCTCTCTGTGTATGTGAAACCTCAGTTTCCAACACTGGAAAAACTACACACAAAATCTAAGGAACAAGACTTCCTGTCTTAGAATATTAATAAAAAGACCCAGCTGAGCCCTTCAATACAAATTGTACCACAAGAAATAATGTTTTGTGCTTTAAAATGTCAGGCTTTAAACATCGTGTTTTGTATGTATGTGTTTGTATGTGTATAATGGATCAATCTTTTTTTTAAAAAAGATGTCAAATTTCAATTCTGCTGTAGATAGAGAACAAACGTAGATACAGTGATTTAACCTCCAAGATTGAAAAAGACAAGTAACAACTGGTAAAATATATGCTGTTTTAAAAACAGAATCTCAGGAACTGTGCCAACTTTACCTGATACTTAATGGTTTCCGATCTATTTTTTCATATTTCAGTACTAATCTATGGAGAGAAAGCAGAATTCATTATAATTTATTTATATAACCAGTCCCAAACTATACACCCCCTCTTCATATTTACTAAAGACTTACATAATGTTTAGTTAGTGCTGGGCAAGCTTTAAGTATGATTCTAATATAGGTAGTCCTTGATTTATGACCACAATGGAGCCTGGAATTTTAGTCATATGTTGTTGTGGTTGTATCAAACCACGTGTCCAGATTTGATTTTACAACCATTTTTATGAAAGTGGTCATTAAGCAAACCATGAAGTTAAGTGAATCAAGCATATCCAATGGTATTTTTGCCATTTTCTGATGGAAAATGGAAAAAATATCACCAACTGCAATCACATGACTGTGGGATTTTTGCAATCAATCGTAAATGCGAGTGTGGCCAAGCACCTGATATGCAATCAGGTGACCACAGGGTGGGATGTGGTGAAGTGTGGCAGTCTAACTTTGATGATGGTTCATAAGTAGCTTTTTAAAAGTCCATTGTAACTTGGATCATTAAACAATCAGTCATAAGTCAAGGACTACCCATGTGCCAATTTAGAATTTGGCATGACACACAAAAATCCCAGAGATTATTTCCCCCAATTTTGTGTGTGTGTGTGTTTAAATTTCATTCATAATCTGTAAAATTTGAGAAACCTGGAGGCAAAATGCAGCCAGTTCTTGATGTGAGGCAAAATGGAGCTATCCTAATGATATAGAAAGGCCAGAATTCAGGATCCTTCACACCCCCTAACTAGCAGAAGCACAGTCACATCAAATATTTACAGACTGACATGCCAGCTTGAATGATTCAAAGATGAATCCCATTATTTATAAAAGTGTACCCAACTTCCTCCTCCAACTCATGGCAGCCAGCAACTTCCCACCCCACCTATCCACACTTTCTTCACCAGCTCATAATATCCCATCATCAGCCTGCCACCACCCTCACAGCCCTTGCCCCAACTTACTCAGAAAAACTGGAATTCCATGTAGAGTCCTGCACATCAACCACAGCACTAGGCCCAAAGGTTAAATTGGTTAGGTCAAATAGTGTCTTGTTGATGGTCACTGATAAATTGCTGGCCCAAAAGAGTATCCTTGTGATCCCATCTTTGGAGTAATGAACGGGTGCAAATACTGTCTCCTTCTGAAGCAGCTGTCTCCCTAGCTTCTCTGGAGCCACATCAGAAATATCCCGGAGAACCTGGAGGGGAATTTTCCCTTCTTCATACGCTGTATCACACAACCAGCATTTCCCCGAATTACAAACAGAATTATAATACCACACATTAAAAAAACCCCACCAAAAGTCACCTTATCAGAGAGTGGAGAGTAAAAAATAAAGATGGACAGAATGCAACAGGGCAGAAAAGACTAAGATTAATGTTTGGGTTTGCAGACAAGGATAAAGTTCCCTCTGCTCTCCAATACTAGCCCCCAAAAGTTGCTATCAAAGTATAATTTTTATAGCAACAGCAAGGAACAAATGATCAAATATTCGAGGAGTAATTATATTTCATTATTGCCGCTGAATCTAAATGAATTTTTAAATTGATGTTACTTGGCTCACTCCTTATAGCACAAGTTCTGGAGCACCAGTAAGAGGTCACGTGGAGCTTTCAGCTACATAAGACTTTGGTTTAGGTACCTCAGAAAGGGTTGCTTTAGAGACCCAGATTGGTGCAATGGTTTAGGAGCTGGGCTAGAAACAGGAGACCACATTCTCATCTGGTATTAAGCACAGATGACTTTGGATTAGTCGCTCTCTCTCTCAGTCCAATCTACCTCACAGTGTTATCAGTGTGAGGAAAACAAGGGGGAACATTATGTAGCTTGAATTGCATATAATAAAGGCATGGAATAAAGCTGATAAGCAGGTAAATAAATGTTCCCAGACATCCACACAGACATCCATTTTCTGGAAATTTTGCTTTGGCAGAATCCAATTTAACTCAGTCTCTCTTATTGCTAATTCTTTTAACAAAAAGATTAATATTTTTTTAAATGCTTTTTGTTGTCTTCCTCCTCATTTCACCATTTCTTTGTGCATAATTTAATTATCACTGTTTTACTTTTCTTTAATATTTGTAATGTGAACCACGTGCCTATTATCAAGCTGTCTCAGACTCAAAAGTAGCCAATTAATGTGGCATTCAGACAACGCTATATTCCCAAGAACGGGGAAAGGAGAGCAAAAAGAGCAACTACAGGGCAATCAGAAGGACCTCATACCCTGGAAGGCCGTAGAGCAGTCAGGATAGCTGTGTAGGGAATATCTTCTGACTGAAGAGCGCTCAAAACCTGCCCCAGGATCTCATCTGCAAGAAGACATCTTGTTAGAAGAAAAAAGTGGCCTTAGTGCCTCCAGCCTAAAGACTAAAGCCCAGGCATGAATAAACAGCCTCAGGCAAGCAGCACTTCTTGCCATCTTTGAATCTGACCCAGCCTGCATGCCTGCTCTTTACCTCTCTACTTCACTTAAGGCTGCTGCTGTCCCTTGTCAGTGAGAACTTGCCTTGATTCTGTCGTTTGTATAAGCTAGTCTGTATGGCAAAAAGCAAACTGCTATAAGAGTGCCATACAGCTGGCTACCATAAACTAAACACAGGTAGTCCTTGACTTACAATCATAATTAGGACCAGAACTTTTGTTGCTAAGCAAGATGGTTGTTAAGTGAGTCGTGGACAATTTTACAATCTGTTGCCCCACGGACTCTGCTTGTTGGAAGCCAGCTGAGAAATCGCAAATGGATGTGAGCACATGAACCCAAGATGCTGCAACCGTTGTAATTACATGCTGATTGCCAAGCACCTGAATTTTGACCGTGTACTGTGGGGATGCTGTGATGGTTATAAATATGAGGACCGGTCCTAAGTCACTTTTTTTGGTGCCACTGTAACTTTGAATGGTCGCTAAACAAATGGCTGTAGGTCAAGAATACCTCTATGAACCAGAATCCCACACCAGGACATTCCAAGCAGATCAACTTTGCAGGCCCACCTAAAATGCTTCGGGAGCCATTCTTCCCCAATGGATTAAGGTTTTCAAGCTGTTGCTTACCATTGCTGGTCAAAACTTCCTTCGGGGCCATAAGACTAGAGCTGGAGAAGAAAGAGGAGAGAGAGGAAGAGAGAGATTACAGCTTGTTAACAAAAAACATCTCCAGCCTCCCTTTCTGTGACTCTAGATTCTTCCATTTTACAGGTAGTCAACTTAGAACAGTTCATTTAGTGAGCATTCGAAGTTACAACGGCACTGAAAAAAGTGACTTATGACCATTTTTCACATTTCTGGTCATTGCAGCATCCCCCGTGGTCACGTGATTTACATTTGGATGCTTGACAACTGGTTCATATTTAAGATGGCTGCAGTGTCCCGGGGGTCATGCGATTGCCTTTTGTGACGACCTGACAAGCAACATCAATGGGAATGCCAGATTCACTAAACCACGGTGTTACTAATTTAACAACTGCAACAATTCATTTAACAAATGTGGCCAAAAAAAAAAAAAAACGGAGCAAAACTCACAACAAATTTCTCACTTAGCAACATAAATATTGTGGCCGTAAGTCGAGGACTACCAGTACTTATCAATGATACTCTCCTGTAGTTAGAGGGAGAAAGTCTGGCCTAGATTTCCAGGAGCCACATTGCTTCTCACTACCTCATGTGGAAGGGAGTCCAGCTCAACCTTCTGAGACTGTGCAGTGGAGGGCGACTGAAAAACCTGAAGGCAGTGCGACATGCATGTGTCCCGATAGGTATGGGGAAGAAGGCAAGGGGAAAAGTACAAAAGGTAAACTACCAAGATAAGCTACACAGAGGGGGAAATAGGAACTGCAGAGTAAGTTGGAGAAGTTGATTTCTGGGGGAAATGAATGCTATAAACTGGATCCACAAGAGCAAGAAATGGTAACAGATTATCTCAATGTTAACATGTAATGATCAATAGGAAGTTGTTTCTCATGTAAAGGATTGGAAAACTGACTGGGGGGGGGAAGGTATGAGAGAGTCATTAGAGAAATTACACAGGGATAGAGGGAAGAATGAGAAAGAAATTCAAAATAATCCAGCCTTGGGTTAGTACAAGATGGAACAGATAAAAACTTGGACACGCTTTCAAGACTGTCAGCCCTCTGAAGTAGGCCATGTCAAAAAGCAGGCAAGGCAGGGATTCCAGAATTAATCTTTTTTGTATAAGAACTGAATCCTGAAAAGTCTCTCCAATTTCATACTAAACAAAATCAAGGCGGGTTTATTTTGAGCTTATTTCTCCCGCTTTCCTTTTTCCCAGGAATGAGTCACCGCAATCTCTCATGCCTTCCCCAAAGAGGTCAATGTATCCCTTTATCACCTACAGCCCTGCGGATGCACCCTACAATATCTGCGTGCACATATGCACAAGAGGGGAGGATATTGCAGTCTTAGTAACAAAAAAAGGACCACAAGACTGAGTACCTACCCAGTGGTATAAGGCAACCGCACCATCAGTAAGGCAGGAAGGCTGGCATTGAGTCGCAGCTCCTGCAGAGTGTTCTGGTCCACATGAAGAGGTGAAATGCCCAGTTTGGCCTTCAAAAAGGCAGGCACAGCACCAGCTGCAAACCAGTCGACAGAAGGAAGCACTAAAGAAGAGGGAGCTGTTCCTAAGGCATTCTGATGGGAAGGAATGAAACAGTCAGATCTATACCAACAGGGTGTCCCAAAATACGTTGTTAATAAAAGGACTGGCACGTTTTCATTATCACTGTCCATCTTTTAGTGCTATAATATTTTGCTTTTCAACAGCTACTGACCGCATCTCAATCCAAGCCATGGGCAGAGTTTACTTTAATATTCAGCATTCTAGTCTAATAGTTCAGCATTACAGGTAGTCCTTGACTTACAACTGGTGGCTTAGTGACCATTTGAAATTACAATGGACCCAGAAAAGAAGACCTATGATCTGGATTCAAAGTCAAAACCCCTCATGGTCACATGACCAAACTTCGGGAGCTTGGCAACAGGACTGCATTTACTGCCGTTTGTAGCATCCCGCGATCACATGACCACATTTTATGACGGTTTTTCCAAAACCTGGCAATTACTTCTGGGTTTTGTCAAAAATGCCCCATAGCAAATAATGGGTTCATTTAATGACCATGTTTATGACTGCCACAGAAAAGGACATAAAATAAGGTTGGTTAAGTGACCATGGGCAGGCTCCATCGCAGTTATAACTATGTGTACCATAGATAAGTTCTGAGAAAAACATGTAATTTCAGGATTAAGAATTAAATGCAGATTAATAGTCAGGGACCAAATGCATCCTTCCCAAAATTCAATATGTCTCCCATAGCCCATTTTTCATTTATCACCAATATCTGGCAAGAAATCACACCAGTAATTTTCAGTGACCAACTGTCTAAACAGCCTATTGTTGCATGAATGGGTTAGGGTTAGGAAAAGAAGTGATAAATGAAACATTTAGAATCTTTTAAAGCTTCCATTTGTAATTTGCAGTTTGAAATAAATAGCATTGGTATTAAAGTACAGGACTTTCATTTATCATTGTATATTCCAGCTTATTTATGTGAACTCATATGTGGAAAACTGATGATTACTTTTAAATGATTCTGAATGTCATACAAAGGAAAACTGAATAGTAGATAGGAAACAGCCCCTTATTGAGCCTAAATCTAAATATCTTCAACCCCCCCTTTTTAAGTGACATAAAGAGACCTTACCCATTCACTAGGCTGAATACGTAATTAGATTTTAAGACTATGGCTAGAATTCAAATCAAATCTGAATGTTATTTCTTTTCCTTCCTAGAAGCTCAAGACTGCTGGGGAAACTTTTCTCTCTCTCCAACTGACATTTTCTCACAGACATCGTTTGTTACAAGATTAGCTTGAGAGAGTTTGCAAGCTATACAACTGAGACAGAATATGAATGCAGTTCTCGGGAGATCCTGATCAAACATACTTAAAATAAAACACACCAGTGATCCTGCTGCTTTTCATTAAACAAAACCCCACAACGGCTTCTCTTCCTTTTTCATTTTATTTAATACAGCAGAATAACCTATTTTTCTGGCTTCCAGTCTCTTGCTGCCACATGTTTAAGAAACAAGAAGCCACTGGGCCAGCTTATAGTACAAGGAAAAGAAAAGAAATTGTAACTGGACACAATGGAAATTTTAATTCTATGACTGTATTTTAAGATCCTCTTTTTACTACTTCTTGGAAGTAGTAGCCCAATGGAAAAACAGTCATAATGAAAACTCAGTTCCGGGAGCTCCATTCAGACTTCAGATGGGAAGGCTAAATTTCCATCCTGAACTAATTAAACAAGTGCATTATATTTGAAGGAGTCCAACTAACGCAGCCAAATATATGTTATTTTTCAAGTTGATTTTATCTCACTCATGAGATTTATGACACTACACAAATGAAATAATTAGCATAACTTGATATAATTTAAGATTTAACAGACCTTCAGGAGCAATCGATCCCCCTTCCTCCAAACAGTACATTAAATGAAGGTTTCACTCTTGCGCTCTGTGTATACACATATGCATATACATACACAGATATGTTGATGTACACAAATGCATGCACAGTAAGAAAAATAGGTGATGCAGCATAATTTATAATTCCCAATTATTCTCCTCACCTCCAGATTGGGGAAGGCGCTATCTGGCTTATTTCCAAATACTCCACCATACGCTGTGAAATCCTCAATGCTAAGCTGTAAGGGAAGACAAATTGTTTTAAACCTTCAGTCTCTCTCTCTCTCTCTCTCTCTCTCTCTCTCTCTCAACAGCATTTTAAACATTTTATATTTTGACAGGAAGCCATCTTGATTTTACTTCAAACCTACAGACCAGATCAAAAGAAAAAATGGGCAAAAGGAGCTTTCAACAGAAACCGCTGCTTCAGTTTAGGGAGAACCTGCATTATTATTATTTTATCATGTTAAAATGGGAGGGAAAAAAGAAATACCCCATCCTACACGTAGGTTCAGTAAACATTGGCTAACAAAGATCCTGATAAATGTAGTGAAGAAGTGATCGAATATCACAAGGTTCCCAGTAAACATGACTAAGCCAAAGAAGCTTCCTTTTATTGCCATGTGCACTCTCAAGAAACAGGAAGCATTCCCCCCCCACATATATATTGAATCCCCAAAAGAACAAAATCAGTATTCGGACAATGAAATCTATAGAATTATTAACTACTTGTAAAAAGGTTATTTCCAAAAGACTTTTACGCTCTCATAGATTATAATAAAAAATATTTAAAAGTCTACATGAACAGGTCAGCATGCAACCACTGATAAGAACTGACATAAATACAATGAAGAAGCCTGTCACCATAACTTACTTTCTCCTGAAGGAACAGCAATACATTGTGAGGGCCATTGTCTACTGCTGAGTCCAGTAAAGATGCAAGCTGAGCTTCTGTCACCACATGACCCTCATGTGGAGCTGCCAAAGGGGACCATAAGGAGCTGTGCTCACAAGATAGAGGGGGGAAAAGTCAAAAGGAGAAAAGCTAAATTTTCTTTCACAGAAGCTTTTATCTTTATCTTATAATATCACAGTCTTTTCCAGCCTGATGTCTTCATGTGTACAGGACTTCAATTCCCACAAACCCCAGAAAGCCTACTGCCAGGATGTTACAAATACCAATGGTCAACATGTTCAGATCACACCAGTTTAGGGAATGATGCTGACACAGATAGAACATGCAGGATTAAAATTAGCATTTTGCTCACCACACAAGCCAAAAAGAAAAGCTCTATGAGCTTTTAGGTTCCATATTTGGCCACTGCTCAGTTTCTACAACTTCTGCATATCAACTGGCTTAAGCCCAACTAGAATTCCATATCTGCTCATTAAGAAAATTCCTCTAGCTTGAATTGCAATAACATTAAGATGAGAATGCTTAGCAGCCATGATAAAAGACCAAAATAATACATTACTATATCTTTTACGTACAGCCAAGTTTTATTCTAAAAAGTCTTTTGAGGGGAGAAGAGAATTTCATGCCAACACATTCTCATAGAATTTCTAAAATATAGTGGCACCTAAGTTGTCAAAGTCTCAAAAATATTATTTAAAACTATTGAGTGGAGGAGTAAATAAAAATCCCATCACATCACCTGGTTTTGTTTTGCATTACCTTTTTAAAATATGTCTCTTAACTAATTGCAATTGGTCACAATACAATTATATCTCCCAAGGCAAGGACAACAATAGCACAAAGGGAAATGTAATCAAATGAGGACACTGTGCTTTAAAAAAGAAGAGCAAATTATGAGGAATGTAGATTCTGATTGATATACCAAAATGAAAGGAATGGAAAGGAGAATGGAAAAACCAATGTTGAACGATTGCCTTCTCCTATATCTAAAAACTGGTGGAAATAAACTCTTCTAATAAGAGGGTGGAATATCCTTTTTCTGTACACTGTAACAGAGATGCAAAAAATCCTATGGCTCTTGAAAAGTCCACCTTGAAGCACTAAACTGTATTGATTGCTTTGGAGAAAAAAACTATTATATGTAAATTAAATACTATGTCCATGCAATGTCAAAAATGTCATCTTGGCTCCTTGGAACTAAGACATAATTTGTAAATGATACTTTTGCTAAAAGTTACAATCTCGTTGGTAGAAACTAGTAATACCACAAAAAAACTAAGCTATTCATTATCTCAGTTCCCCTTAACACAATAGCACCCCCAAAACTCTTTTTTTCACCCTATACTAACAACACACATCTCAAAAACTCCAAAATCCGAAACACAGCGCAGATCAATGAGCTGTATTTCACAATGTTCTTCCAGGTCCATATAGCAAAAGGGGGATTTCTTATTGTCCCCAAAAATAGTATCATGAGCCAGAATAGCTAATGGCTGGAATAATCTGCGATCATGAGACCATCTCATAGGTTTCCCACAATTGCACACGCAGTATAATTGCAGCAAATCTAGACTCATCTCGAGACAAGTCTTCAAGGGGGGGGGGGATACAAATACCTGCGGTTGCAGCATTGGTGGTTTGCATCTCAGGAATAAGAGGTTTAAAACATCCAGAGCCGTAAGGTGTGGATAAAGGGACCGATCCAGAGGAACAAAAACGAAAATAAAGACTCGGGTGGCTATCCACGCAAAGCAAGCTCCAATACATCCCTTCGGCCGCCTCGATCTCCCGTGACTCTAATCCCCGTGACCTCAAATTACCCACGTAGAATATTTCAGAGTCCCACATACCTGTGACTCGACCAAGCGAGCAAGGGCACCTGCCCGGTGTGCGCGGCCACCAGCCCCAGGCTCAGCAGCAAAACCCCAGCAACCCACCGCAACGCCATCTTCCTTCCTGTTCCCTTCCGCGGATAGTTCTTCTCCTGCTTTCCCGGCCCGCTGCAGCCAATCAGAACCCGGAAGGGCGTTACCGGCCTTAGGGGAACATCCATTTAGAGGACGAGGCGGGACCTTCAAGAGCCAATAGGGATTTTATTTATGCTGCCCGCCACTTCCTTTCCCGGGATGGGAAGTCTCTGCACGTTTCAGCAAAACTCAATTTTGCCTGTTTAAATCCGTAATCGCTTTGAAGCCGACTTTGGGTTAGAGTGATGATTATTTTATTTTTTTAATAAATAACGACCAGCGGCACGAAAGTGGCTTCCACCCAAAAATACTAACTCTGGGACTTCCTCCAAAATAAAACACCGCAGAATATGCAACATGGTCTTGCGCCCAGGCAGGACCAGTGGAGAATTTTGTACTCGTGAGAAACCAGAGGCAACTGGAAGAGTTGAAGAAGCTTCTTGGATGAGAAGCGAAATGTCTTCAAAGAAAAACAAAGTCCAATTGCCTCTTGAAAAAGCACCTTTGGGACAACCATGAACTGGATGACTGAGAATCTCCATAGACGTATAATCGTGAAGGGGGGGTGTCATTGGTGTTAGAAATCCCTGTCTTCGTTTCCAGTTGGAAAAAGGAGCGGCTGTTGGAGAGAAGTGAGAAGAAGCAAAGTGTAACCTGTTCTCTGCTTAAATTTTTACTGATATCGAGGAATGTACTTTAAACAAGTTCAGAGTGCATTCTCCTGTATGTGGAGGAAATTACATTATGCAGAAATTATATATTCGTATATAGGTAGCAAGCAACTTGTTAGTGTTGATGTTTTAGCTATAATCCCCAAAGCCTCTGGTCATTAACAAATCAGTGGGTGCAATGATTTAAGAATCCTGGACTGAGTGAAGAGAGCTAGGTTTAAATTTCCAAGAAACTTGCTGAAAGATTTTAGGCTTGTAACTACAGGTAGTCCTCAACTTATAACAGTTGATTTAGTTACAATGGCACTAAAAAAAGTGACTTATGACTGTTTTTCACACTTACATCCATTGCAGCATCCCCATGGTCAATGGGGATAATCAAAATTCAGACACTTGGCAACTGGCTCATAGTTATGATGGTTATAGTGTCCCACATTCTGACAAGCAAAGTTAATGGGGAAACTGGATTCTCATAACAATCTCATTACTAACTTAACTACAGTGATTCACTTAACAACTGTGGCAAAAAAGGTGGTAAATTGAAGACCTCCAAGGTCCCTTCCAGCCCTATTCTATTACTATTAAAATGAATGGAATTTGTACACAGATGGACAAGCTCTGGATGGGAGTGGGGGAGAAGGAAATGGTCTTTGTTCTGCAGTCACCAAAGGCTTATAGGTTGATTTACACAGACATTATCAAGTTGTGGGCTGTAATGTGGAGAATCATAAATCATAATACACACTTCAGTTATGCTGAATTCCTGATATTATATTTGCACTAATAATAGATTTACAAAATACTCAATGCCTGATGTCAGTTATGAAGGGATTGCACTTGTAAATGGGATAATAGTAATTAACTAGTACAATAGAAACCTTCAATGGGCATTACAAAAAAAGGGGGAGTGGACATTTCCTTCCCAGTCTCCCTAATTAACAAGGCACACAATCTGATAAGAAGTCCTACTCCTCTTATATAAATCCCATTCATTATATTCAGAGGCTTTACCCTGGACAAATTTTCTCTGCCAGCCTGACTCTATCACTCCAAACATACCTAACACCTGCTATTTAAGGTCTCTTCTCACTGGGTTGTGCTTTTAGGTAGAAGTTGTTCTAAATTGTTCTAAATTGCCAGAAGCTGTTCTTGCATTGCTATCTAAGTATCAGACAGAAAGACACCGCCTTTTCTTACAGTGGATATTTTCTCAGTGCTATATTGAATACTCCCCTAAAGCAGGAGACCCCCCCCCCCGACCCCTGGGCCACAGACCGGTACTGGTCCGTGGCCTGTTAGGAACCAGGCCACACAGCTGGAGGTGAGAGGTAGGTGAGCGATCAAAACTGAAACCATGCTCCCCCCCACACACACCAGTCCATGGGGAAATTCTACGAAACCGGTCCCTGGTGCCAAAAAAGTTGGGGACCACTGTCCTAAAGTACTGTACTGATCTAAGATCATCTTTTATAGTTTAATGGGGTCAAAGGTTGAACATTTTAATTACATTTTATGTAAATTGGTAGATCACTATAACATCTGTGACTGTTCAAAATTTTATGAATATCCATTGTTAATGGATAATTAGAGAGTCAGTTTGATATAGTGGTATAGGTAACCTTGGGCTAGTCAGTTTCTCGAAGGTAATAGCAAACTGCTTCTGAAAAACCTTGCAAAGAAAACTTGTCCAGGCAGTCTTCAAAAATCAGACACAACTAAATGGGGGAAAAAGAATAATTACCACAGTCTCTAATATTGTATTTATTTTCCTGTCATCAGTGCCTAACATCCACTCTGTCTCCATAGACATGGTACTTGTATGCTTCTAATCTGGGTTACATTCATATATCTGATTAAATTTAATCGAAAAGTTTATGCCAACTTGTTTTGCTTGTTTTTAAGAGTAGTGCCTTAATTGTTTTTCACAACCTACAGTATTTGGTGTATCTATTGGCAAATGGAGGGTCTTTTGCTAGGTACTATAAAACACTTTCCTCTATGAAGATACCTGAATTATGTGCAGAAAACTTTAATCCCTGGCACTTCGGAGCTTAACCCAGGCTGCAACAGGTGTGAATCATTTATTGGGGAAGTTTCAAGTATAAAACCATTTGCAAACCAATATTCTACAAAAAGAGGAAATTTACAAAATGCATTATGTATTCCTCCAATGAGTGGAGATATCTGCAAGAGGATGGAGACAGATTTCCTTCCCCCATCCCTTCCTCTTCCTGTTCTTGCATTACCAGCAATTGTCCCAGCACCTCTAGGTTCTAGCAAGAGGGAACTACATACAGTAGCCATTGCAAGTCCCTCCCTTTGGGAGGCAGACACCAAAGCAGTACAGTCAGGAGAGCCTGAAGCTCAACAAGGGGTATTGAAGCCTTCATCCAATCTTCTGCATGCAATGCCACTCCATCTGCAGCAGGGTGTGTGGATGGTATCGGTAGATGGAGAAATGAGAAAATTTAACTTAAAAGCGATGAGTTAAAAGTAGTCCGTGCAAAGACTACATTTCTTGCCATAGACCACAACTGCATAATCCATGTTTCAGTAACAGAGCTTCTGCTTAGTCTAGTCAACACTAGCTCTGTAGCTTGAAAGTCTGATGCAGTCTTTCAGCCTGTTCCTTTAGGGCCTGGATCTCCTCCTGAATGAAATCAGTCAGGGCTTTGCGCATCTCCATCTATAACCAGAAAGAGCCAAAATCAACAAAGCAATGCAAGCATATTTATAATTATTGGGTCCACACACCATGTTAAATCATCAACAAGAGTTTGGCTTTGGTTTGGCTGTGTACACACATTCTGCGGAGTCCAAACTACACAGGCTAGATTATGGTTCAGTAGAGGGTATGAATCCAGCTAATGCCTTGCCACATCAAAAGCCCGTTTTGCTAGAGCCATAGTGCACAACCGTTCCCAATCTGATGCTTGCCAGATAAAAGGTACAAATCTAAACAATTCTCATCTAGTACGCTCACTGTATTGTCAAGAGTCCAATGTGAATCAGACTAAGGAGACCACAATAAAGTCAGCATTAGCAGGCTCTTCAGTGACTGGCATAAGATTTAAAAATAATTTCAGGTTTTTTTAATGTAATGTTTTGAGCTTCTATGGAAGCTTTTGTGGTTGTTGCCTGTGGACACCATGCTTTCAACCTCTTCCACGTAATACTTGTCCCATCACCACCGATGGAGTGCATTTCTCCCAGTATTTTCCCTCTGCACTCACCGCCGACTTGTTTTCTGCCCGCAGACGCTCTAGCAATGGGCGGACACTGAATGGCTTCCCAATTAACACGGTAATTTTCTGTACAGAAGAAAAACATCCTGTAATGACACTTTTCTCATGACGATTTCTAGATGCAGTGCTTTCCACTTTCCCAATTTCCATGCCAATTGGAATCCCTTCTCCCCTCCTCCATCCAGCAACCCCAAACCCCTTACCTGTCCAACCTGGGGCACATAAGGGGGTGTATTGGGGAGTACATCATTCATTCCTAGGGAAATTGAAAGACAGAATAGTTATTTTTGATCCAAACCCTGATCCTTGCAGGGATGTCAAATGACAACATAAAACAAGATTCCTACATATGTATGTACAATATAATCTCAAAGAACCTGCAGTTCTAAACCCCCAGTACAGGTAGTCCTTGACTTATGACCACAACTGAGCCCAAAATTAAGTCAAACATTTGTTAAGTGAGTTTTGCCCCATTTTACAACCTCTCTTGTCAGAGTTAAGGGAATCGCTGCAGTTGTTAAGATAGTAACATGGTTGTTCAATGAATCTGGCTTCCCCATTGACTTTGCTTGCCAGAAGATCACAAAAGGGATCACATGACCCCAGGATAATGCAACCGTCATAAATATGAGTCAGTTGCCAAGCCTCTGAATTTCGATCACCTGGCCACGGAGATGCTGCAATGGTCGTGTGAAAAACAGTCATAAGTCACTTTTTTCAGTGCTGTTATAACTTTGAACGGTCACTAAATGAACTGTTTTAAGTTGAGGACCACCTGTATTCCATGTTCCTAATGCAACTAGTTTACATAGATATGTAGTTCTATGCTCAGCTAATTATGCAGACGTTCTTAGAAGTTTTTCCTAATGGTGTTATTCTATTTAAACAGGATCATTGCAACCCAGTTTCTCTCACCCTCACACAGTTTGGCACTTACTATAAAAATTCTAATCAAGAGGTGGGGATTGTGCAGTCTTCTAGATTTTATTAAGATCGGCTTTCAGCATTTTCATCATGACCGTGGATATCTGGGATCTTTAGCAATGCTTACACTCTATCCTATTCTCAATCTAGAGAGGTGGGAAGGAAAAAATTGGCAAGAAGGAAGATGGAGCACTGCCATGCACGCCCTGCCCCATTTAAACATGCACATTCAAAAAGGGTGAGACTTGCATTATGATGCTCCACCCTCCATCCTGCTGATTTTTGATATTCTTTCCATGGATGCTGCTGCCTGTTTAGAATAATTATGACAGCAGCATCAGCATTAAACATATATAACTTTGCTCTCCGTATTACCTAAACCTAGTCAAAATAAAATATAGAAAGGTAAAGTTATACTTTATTATTATCATGAAATTGGGACCTGAGGACACATCTATTTAACTGTTTTAAATGTGCTTTCCTGCTAGCATATCTTGCTCTGTCCTGAGAGCTGATTTCTCTTCTGCTTGGGTAATGAGACCAGCAAGTGACAATGTCCTAAGAGCTTACTGTGGAGCAAGTTTTAGATGCAGCAATTTATGATTGCATTTTCCCTCCCACCAGGACTCCCACTTCCTTTTGCTGAGTGTGGAAAAACTAGCACCAATTACTATTCTTTATGCAAGAGGGGCAGGATTCCATAATGACAATTTTTTATTGCTTCCTGTTCTCTCTTGTTGCTATCCCCAGCAAAGGTCACCTGTAACACCTAATTCACATTGGACAGAGACTATATCCCATGAAACAGGTACACAGGTGATACCTGCAATTGGTAGGATCACACCTGGCACTTGTTGGTGGGAAGGGCAGGCAGGTAGCACAGTATGCTTGTGACAGTAAAATTATTTATAGCAAGTATATCTTCAGTCTTATTTACATTCCCATCCGACATTTTCTCTGCAGTCTGCTAACATCATATGAGGAGGGGAGGCAGTGTTGGATAAAGTGCAAGGATCTTCCTGCTTCAGCCGCTGCTGCCTCCTACATGGGCTCTGGGCAGATCACAGAGAAGATCCGGGAGGGGAAAGCACCAAGAGCAAAGTCTCTTGTTTCAGCTGGTGCACTGCTTGGACTCTGGGAGGGGAGAAAGAATCTGACTGCTTCGGCCAGCACTAGCTCTCTTGTGACCCACAGGCAGCACAGTAATGATGCTGGTTTTGAAGTCACCCTACCTTCCCGTGGCATCTTGGCAGTTTGTATGAAGATGAAGGAGAGCCCATTTCAATCACTCACCCACCCACCCTGTGGGATCTTCTCTGACATGCAGCAGGACTAGTACTGGATCCTTGCATGACTGGTCAATACCCACCACAGGGAACCAGGAAGAAGGGAGGGAAGGTAGTCAAAAGTGGCTAACGGGAACTGGGCAGACCCCAGCCCCCCCCCCATCATCAGCTCTGTAGCCCCAGAAGCTTCAGGCATTGTGCAAATCTCAAGCCTTGTATTGGGAGAAAACAGATCAGATAAATACGAAATACAAAACAGACTATGGGCTGCATCAGGGGGATATGTCGTTAAGATGAAGCAATGAGGCATCCTCACACTGGATATGGGAGTTGAATGGATGTGCTTTGAGGAAATAGATTCACACTAGAGCTGTACTCATCCAAGGGACTTGGCCAAAGAACACGATTCCCAAAGTTCAGCTTGCATATGTGGACGGGAAAGAGTTTGTTCCAGAGTGCCCACAGTTGCAGCGCTTCTTTGCCTGCTCATGGAAGGAGCTAGCAGATACAAAAAGGTCCTTCTGCAGTGCTTTGCCACTTTACCTTTTAAAATAATCTTCTTGAATGGACTCCTTCTCAGAAAACTACTTCCAAAAAGGAAAGTATCAACCAGTAAGGTCATGTTGTGGTCGTGTTACTTTAGGGCAGAAAAGACCTTGTGGCACTTTCAAACAAATATGTTTATTATCTTCTAACTAAGCCATCACAAATGACTTCATCAGATGGTTAACTGACTTGTGAGTTCCTGCCAGCTTCCTTGAGCACATCTGCTTCACTTTCAAGACTATTATGGTCCTGAATGAGAAGAGCCACCTCTTCTGATATTATTCTTCCTAAATAGGTGTTAGAGGATTAATAAGGTTGGAGAGACCTGCCTCACATTTATTCTGGCAACTATAATTGGCAGCCACTATGCAAATTCTGCCTCCCCTTCTCTCCACCTCACCCCACACTTTTTACTGAGGCCTCACCTATATGCCAGAGTGGCAGTATAATGGGGTGCAGACGGCACTCAGCCAGAAGACGCCCAATACCTGGAAGAAAGAAAAAGAAGCAGAATGAAAGGCGACAGGGTTACTCCAGAATGCACCTCACTTCTTAGAAAAATACCTACCCCATTTGAAGCGCATGAACTCCTGGGTCATGTTCACTTTACCTGCAAAAGAAAGGGGGAGAAAATGTGGAGCAGTTGGGTGCATGGCAAGTCCCCCAGTAAATCTGGCAGTCCAAGTATGGCAGCAATGTGTTATGAAACGCATCTGTGCCTTCTAACCCCCAGCAAGTTCCCAGACAGCTTTCGGCTACTGCTACCTTCTGGGAACATGTGCACCCAGTCACCACGGTTTAGCTTCTCTAGTATATAGTCCATGCCTTTCTGGTAGACTCCATCTCCTGTGAAAAGAAGGAATTTAGTCCAGGTTTTCCAACTCACATGCAAGCTCCTTACCTACACTCCTAGGGGGGCTCCTAAAACATATATCCCCAACCAAACTACTTGCCATTCCTGCCTAGAAAAGAAGACATAAGTATCTATAGGATTTTTTATTTAGAGACCCTTTTTCCATCTGTAAAGCAACTGGCCATTTTTAGTGGATCTACTCAGCAACATTAAGATAGGTAGGCTTCTAGGGAGAAATAAATTGTTCTGCAAAAATGTGTTTTAAGAGAAAGAGAAAATGTGCAAAATGTGTTTTAAGTTATGAAAATAGGTTACACTTGCTATGAAGTTAGGAAGTCATTTCTTCATCTCTCTCTCTCTTTTGTTATTACAGTATTTTTATTTTTATTTTCTGCGCCTTCTATTTTTTAATTGGTATTAACTTTTTATTGTAGTAATTTTTAATAAAGATACCATAAAAAACATTATAGGTCACTATTATTTTTATGGAAATACGACGGTGCAACACTGGGAAATAAAGGTCCAAAGACCTCTTGCTGCCTCAATATTTAGTGAGGATCTCAAGATGGAAAATTACTTTTCAGTTTGTTTCAGGCACTACTGTCTGTGGTCCTGATATCATCTCTCCATTTCTATCCCAAGAGCTGCTTGCCTTGGTTAATGAATCCCACAAAAGAGTCCCATAATTCTAATTTGCTCTATTCGAAGTGATATTTCTATGGAAAATAGGGCAATTGGTTCCAGCTTGATAGAAATAGGCCATGGAACATTTTAAACATGTTTATATGTATATGTAAATATTACAGTAATTTTAACATTGCATTAAATTCAGTTTTTAAATCAATCAAATCAAGCAACATCAGCATTAAACCTTTGTTCTACTTCATTGTTTCTTTTTCTTTTCTCTCTTAAACAAACTTAAAAGTTTTGTTCTGAATGGCTACTCTGCCAAGAGGAATGCATTTTTATTGCATTCCTTAATCCATTCATTGACTGCAATTCTTAGTTCATATATCTACATTCTGTTTCTGTGGTTGTAACACAGAAGATGTTGTAGAATGTTTGCAAACCACAAAAAGCTGGTACACCTTTCATTTTTTCCCCTTTTGTTTCCCCTGTGTCTTTTATAATAGTGCACACTGTAAATTCAGCCATCCCAATATCTCATCTTAGTTTTAGCGTTGCTATAACCATGTTCGTGCCATTCAGTTACATGAAATTTTTGCTTCAATGTAGTAATGAACATCTTTTTTGAACTTATACTGTTTTCCTCCAATGGAATCTTCCTTTTCTCCATTTTTGCACACATGTTGTCATCGGTACAGATTTTAAGGTTTACGTTGACACGTACGTGATGGAAGTTATCGTCTGTGTGATCAGAGGGTAATTGATTTAAAACCCACTGTAATTTGTACTGGACATGTTCTCCCACTCTCTGTCCATGGAGCCAGATATATGGTTTGCTTACTGAGTAACCCTAGGGGTATAGTTTTGTTGAATGGAGTACACTGGCCAGAACTTGAAAATAACATTTAAGGCAGCACAGTATTTAAACAAAATGGTTCGGTTGAGATCTGCATATGTGGGACTGATTGGGGTAGATTGCAAGGGTGACTCCAAGATATAATGTATTGTTATCATATTTTATCTGTATTTTAAATTACTGTACTCTATTTTAATTTCATTTTAGACTGTATTTTACTCCAATTTCATCTTCAAGTCGTATTTTACTCCAATTTCACCTTAAGTCATATTTTACTCTAGTTCCATTTTAAACTGTATTTTATCAAATTTTATTTTAAACTGCTTTTATCAGACTTTGGTAATGATTTGTTGCTGGAACTTTGCACTTTGATATTGCTCAAGGGCTAATCAATAAAGATTTTTTTAAAAAAACCTGCTTTCAATTTTACAATAAACTGAATATTGCATGTTTTGAACTCATACAAATTGTGATCTATCTGTATTCCTCTATCAAGTAAACTGGCTACATACCCCGACAGACAGGAACACATCGCCCAAGGCTAAAGAAATGAGAATGCAGCTCCTTGGTAAAGCAGATATCTGCAGCTGTTGGAGTCCTAAGAGAGCCATAAAAATATGTCACAGTACTGACGTATGTTCACCAAACCCACACAACAGGGACCGAATGGGGCCCCTTCTTTTTCCAGGGAAAGCCACACTTCGTGATTTACCACCGCATCTTCTGCAAGTTCCAGACGTGTCGTAATCTCAGGATACCTGTAGGAGACACAACGTTAATGGGATCAAGCCAAACCTATTGCTACCAAACAGAAAAATAAATGCAAGCATAAAAAGCAGGTGATGTTGGAAAGCTGTTGAAGTAGCCTTGCAGTTAAGAATGGTTTTTTTTTTTACACCTATCACTATTTCAAATGCTTTGTGATTCAAAGGAGAGCCAGAGTTTGATGTCACTGGTTCGATTTAACATGAAAGGGTGGGTTAGTTTCTGTTTTAAAAACTGGAATGAAGTTTTCCTCTGGCTACCTTTGAGTGTAATGTTGTGTAGTGTAGTTTGATGTGCTCCACCTTTTTATATGTAACTCAAGAAAGCATACATATCTAATACTCCTGCCTTGTATTTTTCCCATAACACCACCACTGTGAGATGGGTTAGTAGGCCGAGAGAGAGTGACTGGCCTGAAGCTTACCCAGAAAAATAGAACTATTTTCTGGTTTCTAGGCTAGTATCCTACCCACTACACCAAACTGGCTCTCTTATGCCTCACCTTTGATGGTACTGCAGCATTGTTAGTATCTGATTTTTAAAAATGGACTTTGTGATAAAAAATACCCTGAGATTCTAATTTTAACTGGATGATTGGATGATTGCCCACTTTAGAAATTTGCAAGTTGTATCTTTCAAACTGATTGGAATGTTGAGAGCAGAAAAGCTTTATCACACTGAATTTTCTTGAAAGAAAGATGCTTCTGTGAATAATCTGTGATGGAAACTCTAATTCAAAGTGGGTCTGAACTTATTACAAGCAGTAACAAATTAAACAAGTACCATGGTCTCATCACTTTATTTGATCACGATTTGTAAAAATCAGAGAGAGATAGCTAAATATAAATATAAATATATCTGAATACTGCTAGATATATGAACAGGAGTATGAATATATTCTTGAGGAAGAAATGCAAGAATGCAAGAACCATTGAGTTAACCAAGTCAACTTTTCTGGGAAAGGTGAAAAAATCTTGAGAAAAAAATTCAAGATAAACCTGCCTTGATTCTGCTTGGTATAAAATGAGGAAGAAGGATATTGTGGCAAGCTTTCAAGATACCCTATAATAGTAGAGTTTCAGTAGTCCAAATTTCCTGACCTGTCTCAACTTGAAGGACAGACAGACAAAACAATTGATTCAGAGACTTAAATATGAGATTGATTATGGTGGTTTTTTTCCAAATGAGTATTTGATTTGTTAGGAAAAGTATCAGAGAAAATTTTGAAAGACAGAAATAACTGAAATCAAATAAACTCTTTAGATGTGCTTTTGTTTCACAGCCCTTACTAGCATTGCTTGATTTAACATCATTTGCACTGGAAATCCTCAACTGCCTTCTTGCTGCAAAAATAGCCAGACAGAGTAATAAACTTAGAATTTGAAAATGATTAAATATTTGATCAAGCAAGATCCATTAATTACTATACTACTTCCTTTCTCATTTGCTTTTGGCCAAATCCTGAACCACCTGTTTCTAAAAAAATTAACAACGTAAAAGCTCCAGATCTCTGCAATTCCCTCATTTCCTTTCTCCTTTTTCTTCCCTTTCCATTTTTTCATTTAAAACATTGCATGCCTCAACCCATCTATTTTGGTGCATTCATAAATCCTCCTTGCCTGTATTAATTATGTTGCCATTGTTGCTGCTATTGCTAGATGAAGTTAATTATAATCATAGCAATATTATTTGTATTATAATTGTAAAACTACAGGCGTATATTTTTAGTTCTTAATAGCAGCAAATTAAAAAGCCTTAATGGAAGATCTGCCTTTACCCTCTTCGTAGGAGAAAACGAACAAACTGAGGTTAAGGGGGGTTTTATTACTAGGTCCCAGAGTTTCTATTTTTTTCTCGTTACAAAAGGAGTTTAACCGTCGGGAAGGGAAGAGTATCGCATGGGGTTTCTACACCCAGTAGGTACGTCCTGACTACCAATGTCTGTCAGTTCTCCCCCCAAGGACCAACCGGCTTCTCGATTAGGTCATAAAGAACTTCTTCATTATGGATATTCAGCTTGTTTACATATCCTGAACAAAAGACAACAAGGCAACAGTATGAAAGGCAGCAGCTACAATATTTTAGATAAAACACTCAAATGAATTTTATTTATTAATCCCACTTACAGAGTTTTCAGGATCTAATTCAGATTGAAGCAAGGTAGATAGAATATAGCTCAGATATATAGAATGTTTTGGATGTTCAAACAATTTACAGCTCTATCAAAGAGACCCAAGATCATAAGCAAAAAGTTATAAAAACATCCCAAAAGAAAGGAATGGAAATTATCTCTTCACTGTTGCCAAGAAAACTGCAAACAAATATCCTGGAGTTGGACTTGATCTGAGTAGACTCAAGTCAAGAATTTTGGTGGCTCTTGTCCTCAGACAAAACTGACCATTGGAAAAGGCAAGGTATATAAACCTAGTTAATATGCTGATCAATCCGTCCATGAGCTAGTATCCACCCTCTTGTTTCCCCTCCCCCTAATCTCCTGGGGTTGCTAATCAATGTCCAGAGTTCAGAAAAACAGGACATCTTCTCCAAAAACTGCATTATACATAGAAGAAACAAGACTGGGATCTCTTCCAGTCACATGGAACATGAGCACAACCTGAGCTTTTTGCTGTTCCTAACATTCCAAGTACCCTCCCTGATAACGTAGCCAAGGAAACTCAGGGTCATAGATCTGCTTGATCAGTCAAGCATCTTTCAATCATCCATCAGTCAATAGAGTAGAGATAATAAATACTCACTGGTCCAGAAGCAGCTATAGGTACCCACCAATCCCATGATCACCCTGCTGGCCAAATTCCATGCCAGACTTGGGGCCTGAGGAAATGGCCATTTCACCTCCAGGGGCATCTTCCCATCCCTGGTGATCCCCAGCCTAGAGGCAATGCTGTCAGCTGTCCCTGTGAATGGAGAGACAGCAGAGTGTTTTTCAGCCAATGATATCCATTATGTTTCTCAGCTGACAGGCTTGTGCCGAATCCTTGCTCTGCTCGGAGGTCTCAGTCTCAACTTGCTATGGCACCACACCCCTACAGGATCATCTCGCCCAAGGATTGCCACACAACATTAAAAAAAATGCCCTATATTTTGCAGGAAGTGCTACAGCCACAGAACAGGAAGCTGGACCAAAAAACATCAAAAAACTGTTCCACAATTAGAACACCTCAGACATCCTTATTGATAATACTGTATGACATATGGACACATATATGCCATTTAGGAGCAGATATTAATTACACCTTCAAGCAAACTATTAACAAAGCATGTCAGTGCCATAGATCCACCCCAACTCCAGAAAAACCAGTTTGGGGGATGAAATGAAGGACGTATACTATTATTAGGCAAATAAAGATTTTGAGATGCACATCACATAAATTGTATCAAGAATAACATCTGGGAGAAATAGGAAATGGAGGTACAACAGACTACGCTCTGGAGTAAGCCCACATGTATTCATTCATCTTTAGACTGGTTCTCCACAAGCTTTAAAGGTCTGGTTCTCAATAATTTTAGGTTCAAGAAGAAACTCCCAATCTCATTTTCTTTCTACATTATCATAGCTCTCTCCTCATTGTATCAAATTTGGGCCTCAGTCCAAGTTACCTTCACAGATGGTGCTAGATACATAAGCTGCAGTAGGTATATTTTAACTTTATACCATTAGCATCATTATTTAGCGTTTCCTTTTTGGAACCGAATTAATAAGCATGTTTTCAAGATAGCAGAGAAATCAGGTATCAACTTCTTCAGTATTTGGTTGGAGCAGCAGGCCAAGCAAAAAGGTATCATTGCAACTTTTACCCTGGTTGCTTGCATAGAATTCATTCCATAGGAAAATACCCACAGCCAAAAATATTGCTGAGATACAAGAGAGGAAAAATGAAGAGATGCATAACTCTAAAGAGAAGCTGATGGTAGAGTTTTTGCAGAAGAGAACAGAACCAGTTTATCTCAGCATTAGTTTGGAATTTTGGCACCAATAATTTTTAAAGGTTGTAAATCCCTTGTAAAGATAAATACTGTATATGACAAGGAAAAGAGAATGTTGAAATCATATTACTGCTTTGTCCCACACACAACCAGAGTCTATCCTGATTTTTTTTCCAGTAAACATGTCACTTCCTGCCCTTCTGAATCAACCAGGTGAAACCATAATACATTTTTCCACCCAGATGCCATTCCACCCAGATGCCATTCAATATCATCAAGCATCTTCGCCTACTGAAACATAAAGCTGTTGATCACCCTTCTTTCCCACATTTCGTAACTAGGATACAGTAAAGTACTGCAGGAGAGGGCAACTCCAATTTCTTCTGCAATATACATATATATATATTTGGTTAGGGTTAGGTGGCTGCCTGGAAACCTAACCCTAACCAAATTCCATTTGCTGTTTTTCCCCTTCCAAAGCAACTCCTGTCTTATCCACCTGTTTCTTGAGCCTAGTCCTCCCTTTTCATCACTTTGCAAAGTCAATGAACCACACTGAACCACAAAGAGCATTCGATTTCTTCACATATATTCCACCTGCTTCTCCCACTCTACAAACCCTGGTGATTGCCACCTTGTATCTGTGAAACCTTCCGTCGATGCATTAGCTGTCCGCCACAAATTCAAGAGTCCATCTCTCCCATTGAATTTCCACCCGCTATGTAAGCGTTACAAACACAGAAATACAATGCAAGCCTCCCTCCCATAGGTGACACCTCTGTCCAAAAGATCATTCCCAGATTACTGCACACGACTTCTAATCGGGTGGTTTGTTCTTTCCTTCCTCCGGACCCCGCCTGGATCCCCCGTTAAATCCCATTCACTCACCTCCACTTCCCCTATGTGATTAAATGCTCCTCCTGTTCTCTTCTTTCTCTTGCGGCGAAAGAGACACGCGCAGCCTCAGCGCGTCCCAGCTTTGCAATCTCTTTTCACACGTCGCTACCTTTCCAATATAGGACTTCCAAGGAGGGAACCCCATCAAACATTTCTGCAGGATCCCGCCCCTGGGCTGCTGGAAAAGGCTTTCCTAAGTGACGCACTTTCGAAGCTGCTCGTGGAGATAGAGAAAAGGAGAGTGGGGTAGAAAGTCTGAGTTTCCGGTCCAATATGTAATGGTTAAAAAAAAAAGGTCCTCGCTTAATGGTTCTCTCTAGGCGAGCAGACAAGGGTTTCGCTCTAGCTTTCCTCCGTCTCTATGGTAAGAGCCCCAAGGACTGTGACTTGGAAAACGTCAGATCAATTTTTACAGGAAGAGGGACGATAAAGGATTTAGTTTTATGATTGAAGAGCTGGGGAATCCAACATTTTCAATAAATGCATGAAGAACGGGGCTCTTATTTGTAAAAATAATAAAGGCAGGATACAAATAAATACATTTAATAAATAAAAAGATCCAGGTAATTCTCACCCAGCTATTTAATTTTTTCCCCTTTTCTGATTTGAGCATTTGACTATGTGACATCAATTCACTTTGGGCTCCTAGCGATCACATAGATCAGTGATGGCGAACCTTTTAGAGACCGAGTGCCCAGACTGCAGCCCCAAACCCACTTATTTATCACCGAGGGCCAGTGGGCGTGGCCCACTGGGTGGGCGTGGTTGTGCTCATGGCAGACTGGGTGGGTGTGGCCAAGGTGGGTGTGATCACCTCAATGTTGCTCCTGGGGAGTGACGCCTGTGGGGGCCGGGCAGGGTTGGGGGAAATCCAGGGGGTCTCTGGCAGGTGGAGCAATGGGCAGGAGGCTCGTCCTGCGGGGTGAGGCAAGCCAGGGCAGAGTGGCTGCTGCCTGACACCATCGGCCCCTGCACACAGAGGCCAGTGAGTGCATGGGTGCTGGGATGCATCCAGCCACGTGGACCTCGGTGGGTTAGCGGGCAGCTGTTTGAAGAGGGACGGTTGCCATCTCCGGGGCATGGTGCGCGTGCCCCCAGAGAGGGCTCTGAGTGCCGCCTCTGGCACACGTGCCATAGGTTCGCCACCACTGACGTAGATTTTTCTCCAGGACAATCTGTCCTTAAACTGGTCTTTCAGGTCATCCAATATATATTGCATCCAATTTAATACATGTCTATGTTATTTCAAGCTTCAATATTATATACACTTATCTGGAAGGATGTCGAGTGAAATCAGTGGATTGCCTTTGGGTAACTGTGATACAGCTACATTCTTTGGTGTATTTGTTACAAGCTCTACACATTGGGAAGGAAGTCAAATGAATTCAATGGGCTTGCCTTTCAGTAAATATGTAAAGGACTCAATATATGCATGCAATTGGCCACTGGTTGTGAGAACCTAAGGCAGTGTTTCCCCAAATTGGCAACTTTAAGACGTGTAGGCCTAGAATTCTCCAACTAGCCATACGTCTCAAACCTACCAAGTTTGAGAAACACTGATCTAGGGCGATGAGCCGAAAAGCAAACTGTCGCGAGAAGTAAGCACGTAATGTACTAAATAAACTACATTTCCCAGTAGCCTTGTCGGTCCGCATCTCCGTTCCCACGAGGTGAGGTCCGTCTTGATCTGTAAACAGCTGTGGGGTTTTTTGTCATTTTGATTGCGGGACTTTAGGGGCGGAATATGAAAATCAGCATGCAGTCTGCTGTTGAGAGTGCGTATTTCTCCGCGTTGCTGAAAATGAGGGAAGCTTCTTAAAGACGCAGTTTATGCAGGGCTCAAAGGGGGGGGACGATCCGGGTCGCATCCCAATTTCCCCAACTTATGCAGGCAAAGAAGAAGACTTCGCGGAAAAATCTCACGCAGCACCGAGATTCGCGTAAGGCCTCTGTCCACCCCAAGCGTTCCAGCCCCTCTTGTCATGTGTCAACAATTGACACTTGTACAGACAGGGCAACTCCACCTTTCTGCAAAAGACCACGAGTAGTTTTATCAAGATTAAAGCTGTTCAAAAAATCTCGGCCTTTAAGAGCCGATTCAAATGCTATTGATTGTATCCACTGTTTGTTAAATTTATTTGCTACCTATCTCGCCATGGGTCTACTCTGCGTGGTTGCCCTCTTGCATCGTTGAAACCCCAACATTAAATACAACAGGGTTTTTATGTTCGTTTAAATTCAATCTTTCGTGATTTTTTTTTTTGCTATGGATCACCTAATTTGCAAGTTGAGAATGAGAATTGCTATACCTTAGCAATCTCTTTAAATATAATTAATGGAAGTTGTTTTGCACCACATGTATGAGCGAATTTGTTCACCTTACTGCCTCTTTGAGAAAATGTCCATGTTTCCACTAACTATATTTGCCAAGTATCCATAAACTTGCCAACATAATTTGATTCCAGTTCATTTGAGCTGGGCAGGGAATCCATCCAAACATACTGTACAAGGTCTATTCAAAAGCACTATGAACATACTCAACAATCATGACTGTTTTGGAGAAGTAATATGTGGAGAGAGTTTAAAGACATGTATTTTTAGCATACAATTCTACTTAAAATAATATACTGTAAATTAACTTCTAATTCAAGCAGAAGACCAGGATTAGGTACAGCCAATATTGCTAAAATAAAATTTCATTTTTATGTTTTTTTCCTGGTCATTAGCAATTTTGTCAGCATGCTTTCATATTTTACAGTGTAGTCATGTGGCCTAGAACCTTTTTTTAAATCAAGATTTTATACAGATTATGCAGAATTAATACCGGTAGGATCTCTGCATGCTGCATTAGCTTTTTAAGACCTCTGTATTAGTAGGAAGATATAAGAATATAGTGCTAGTTGAAATATTTCTCCTATGGCAGAAAATCCATGGGGAAAAAACATATGACAATGCTGCATAAGAAGGAAAATATTGCAAACGGCCAGGTGACATGATACAAATGAATGGGAAGTTCCGAAATACTATGAGGCTCACAAGAGCCTTTTTCATAGTTGCAGCTCTGCAACAGATCAATACCCAAATAAATCTGGACTAATTAACTCTTTGTTTTGACATCAGTAGGGAAGCAGATTCCATAGTCATAATAAAGTTTCTATCGCTGCTTTTATTTGTAGCAAATTCTTAAGTTAGCAAAATGATACAGACTGAGGAGATTGATCTCTGCTTCTTATGGTTGCACACTTGTAGATATGTGGACACATCAAGGACAAAGTTCCCTGAAAGTTCCATGTCACTGAACCAATTTGATGAGAGGAAAATCTGCTATCTCAAACTTTTTGAGCCAAGTTCCTATGATGAGCTTGTTTCTCTGTTGCCTGAGATCCATGTTGTCACAGACACAAACAATTTTCAGTAAGCCTTTTGGCAGTTCTCACTCCTAAAGATTAACTTGGATTCTGGAGCTCTGAGAAGTAAATGAAATTCTAGAGTGTGGACAAGCACTTGTGTCTATCAAGTGATACACCTGACTTCTCCTGTGCCTTTTTATTGACACCATATGTCACTTACTTTTCCATGTGCTCAACTTTATTAGTGATTACTATTTCCCGTTTTGGTCACAGAGTTCTTCATAGACAGAGACAAAAAGACAGCAAGCTTCAGAAAGTGTTACTGATTAAAAGATTCAGAGCTTGTCAGTTTCACCCTTAGAAAATGAATCCCCAAACTTGCCTCTGCAGAAGATGGTACTGTTAAAATTATGATGACAACTTTTCATTATTCATTTATTGCAATTTCTAAGTGATAGATTGGAGGTGATATTCTCCTGACTAGAGCAATTGACATCTTCCAGGAAAGGAGACTATGGAGTCCTTCTGTGATGCTACTCTAACCATGGTATTTGTATTAAATGGATGACTTCAGTCAGAGATTACAAAATACTCTTTTTTCCCCCTCTCAGGTGAGTTGAAAAGAGAATGTTGAAAATACATGTAATTTTTGACTTAATTGAATGGAGTAAAATATTAAGCCATCAAATACAATTTCTGAGCTGCAGTCATTCCTCAAGCTCATTAGCTTCAAAATCACAAGTTCTTTTAAATATGGGATAGTTTCTTAAATATAGGATAGCTTTCTGTAGTGACAATACGCCACTGCTCACCAGCCAAGCAGTGGGGGGTAAAATATTGCTAATTTCTATGGTTTTGATGACCAGGGGATGGCAATAGCTAAATCTACCTTGAGAAACACACTGGATACAGTTCTGGAACAATCTATCACACAATCTGGAACAACTGAAAAGATAGCACGCCATTGCAAAAGTTTGTATACAATTTAACACCCTATTGCAAAACTAATCCATAAAGAAGTTATTCTGTAGTAACAGAGATCCTGAGACAGCTCTTCAATATGATGAATTTGAGATGATTATGAAAGATAAGCTAAACTCTTGAACACTCCTCCCTCCCACATAATTTGCTTTCAAAAAGAATATATCTGTCCTCTTTTAATCTGATAAACTGGTTCAGCATGCAGTGTTGAGTATGCTTCAGTATGTCCATGCCATTAAGATAAAATGGTGAAGTATTTATAGTTTTCTCAGGTGTAAAGTACTATATAAAAACTAAATGCATCATTTACTGCCCATTTTTTGTGGGTTCAAGTTCAAAAGACAAGGCACATTTTACATTAGTTTTGTAACATGTAACATCTGCATATGCCTGTCTTCACCTTGTTTTTTCTGCCCAAGGAGACCCACTGAGTTAGATTTACTGAAACTCAGTAAGATTTCAGTTACAACTTTTAGAGATGACTGCTACTATTCAGTTGGGAATGAGTTGGAAATTGCATTTGATCAGCATTAAATTGCATAATTAGCGGGGAGCGAGAGACTTGATTCTATTTTACCTGTGCTTTATCAGTGAATATTTTGTAGTCTTTTTTGGGCCTCAATTAAAAGTTCTAGTCTTCAAACCTCCAAACAGCTCGAGACCATGCTGCTTAACTTGTCTATGTCTATGCTGGACTGATGGCAGGGCTAGATGAATCAAAAGTTGGAATTAAGATTGCCGGGAGAAATATCAACAACCTAAGATATACAGATGATACCACTCTAATGGCAGAAAGTAAGAGGAACTAAAGAGCCTCTTGATGCAGGTAAAGAAGGAGAGTGCAAAAGTTGGCTTGAAACTCAACATTAAGAAAACCAAAATCATGGCATCCAGCTCTCTCAATTCCTGGCAAATAGATGGGGAAGAAATGGAGGTAGTGACAGATTTTATTTTCCTTGGCTCCAAGATCACCTCAGATGGGGACTGCAGCCAAGAAATTAAAAGACGCTTGCTCCTGGGGAGGAAAGCTATGGCAAATCTAGACAGCATACTAAAAAGCAGAGACATCACCCTGCCAACAAAAGTGCGTATAGTCAAGGCCAAGGTTTTCCCAGTTGCAATGTATGGCTGTGAAAGTTGGACCATAAGAAAGGCTGAGTGCCTTTGAACTATGGTGCTGGAGAAGACTCCTCTAAGTCCCTTGGACTGCAAGGCATTCAAACCAGTCAGTCCTAGAAGAGATCAACCCCAACTGCTCTTTAGAAGGCCAGATCCTGAAGTTGAAACTCAAATACTTTGGCCACCTAATGAGAAGGAAGGACTCACTGGAGAAGAGCCTAATATGCTGGGAAAGATTGAGGGCAATAGAAGAAGGGGACGACAAAGAATGAGGTGGCTGGATGGAGTCACTGAAGCAGTAGGTGTGAACTTAAATGGACTCCAGAAGATGGTAGAGGACAGGAAGACCTGGAGGAACGTTGTCCATGGGGTCGCGATGGGTCGGACACGACTTCACAATTAACAACAACAACAATGCTGGACTGAAAGTACTTGGTCTCTTCCTCTCTGAACAAACAGAGAGGCAGACAAGTTTGTGGTTTTTCTTTACACATGTTCACATAGGTGCACAAGAGTGGCTTTAGACTGGGGTGAAGGCTGAATCCCCAGCTCTTGCCTTTCCCAGATCTTAAAACCCCTATTGGGCACAAAAGCTAATACAAAGTGTATGAACACTAGATACGGATTCTGATTGCTGCTGGGCTTATTCTATTCTGGTCACAGAGGTGCAGGTTAGGAAGCGTGTTCAATTAGCAATCCAGCCATGCTCCTTGAGTTTATTGTCCTGTGGGTTGTTTAATCCTGCAGTGTGGCCTAGGAAAGTAAGGAATGGTGAAGAGGGAGTCAGGCTATTCTCCAAAGCTGGACTTCCGTCCTGTTCTTCGTTGCCCACCTTTGATTGGTTTCTCTCTTCGTTGAATCTTGATTCCTCTTTGAAGGACTGTCAATCTTGTTAATTGGTCACCTTGTTGGACGGAGGTCTTCGTCACTTACGCGGTTGTGACCTTCAAAAATTCTTCTTTGACCTGTCGGTAAACAGGCTTTACCATATCCCAAAGGACGCTGAGCAGGGGGTTGGACTAGATGACCTCCGAGATCCCTTCCAACTTTATCATTATTATTATTATTAAACCAAAGCACATAACTTTTCTGCAACCTTGTGATGTCCCCCCAGTGGAGAAGAGAGGGAAAGTTATCCAATTGTGGGCACGGTAATGGCTGAAAAGCCACCAAGACAGCAGAACATGTTGGATACCTGGAATTGAACATACACTGAACATACACATGGTGTTTTGGGGGTAGGATTAAGCAGGGATTACTACTTGCATGTTCCCATGATTCCAAGACAAACTGCATGTTTCTATACAAACCTGATCTATACCTCCCTGCTACCTAGTGTTCTGCGCCATACTGCAATGGTTGCTAGTCACCATCCCACCTGTTGTTCTGTGTTACACAAAATTACTTCATTAATAATCGGTACATGCTGTTGTGTGTATGTACACCTTTGAGTCAGTTTTGACTCTTTATGACTGGTTCCCTTCCATTTTCTTGGCAAGATATTGGAAGCAGTTTGCCATTGCATTCTTCCCAGGGCTGAGAGAGAGGGATTGGCCCAAGGTCAGAATAAGACTAGAACTCATGGTCCCCAAATTTCTAGCCTGATGTCTTAACCATTAGGCCAAACTGGCTCTCTAATACATGCTGAGATGATATTAATTTTAGTCAGTCCTCCTATAGTAGGTATCTTTTGGAGGGCAAGAGAGAGGAAGTCAAGAAACATGAGCTTGTAATAGAAGAGCAAAGGGGTCAGCCTCTTTGTGACATCATGATGTAGGCTTCGTTATTTTGCCATCTTCATGGTTAAGATTTTAGCAACAGGCACTCATGCCGCCTCCTTTTCCATTAAGGCTCTTTTGCAGCAGCTCAGAGTTTCTTTCACCTTGCCAAGGAAGAAAGGTTCCCTCACAAGTGACATTTTTCTTCCTATGTCTTCTATTTCCCACTATACCTAACCAGTTTTTCTCCCCCACCAACATCCACAGTGTGTGCAGAAAGGCAGTTCTGCCAATCTGGCCTATTTTCAGCATGGTCTGCTCTTGGTTGTTGTGCCCATTTGGAAACTGTCCAATAAAATGAACCAGATCCTTCTGCTGAAATCTGCTCTTCTCCTCCAACAACTTAGTCCTAACACAAAGGAGTGGAAGAATAGGAGTTGATCTGCTGAAACAGACATTTTGTTAGCTGCCTGGGTGATCACACACAAGCAAGAGAACCAACATATCAAAATTCAGCAAGCATCAGTAAACTGAAATGCTGTGTCAATGAACCTCAAGCAGGAAATCAGCAATTGCATCCCAGACATGCCTTCCTTCCAGTAAGTTTTGATCATCCTTTGGTTCAACAATTTTTTGATGCCGAATGACAAGGTATTCCCATGTCAGAAGGTTGCAGCTGGGTACATGCCCTTGTGTTTCATAAATATTATGCAAAACGGCACAGGCTCTAAACACAGAAGCTACATTTTCCTCTGCAACTGGCAACCGTGCTGTTTAGCACTGCCTGTGGGCCTTCAACCTTGCAATTGCATATCCACAAGCACATGGTGATTGAAGATTCAATTGTAATTTAGCTTTCTCCAGTCCAGATGACCTTCAGAAAGTTTCATAAGCCAGGCACGAACTGGGTAAGCTTCATCTCTCAAAACAAGTGGGAGAATAAGCACCTCACCAAGCATAATAGTTGGATTAGATGAGGCAAAAACACTTGAATCCATTGCCTCACATAGAGGGAGGATGTACTAAAGGTGAAGTCCTCATGATTCTTATCACTCCAGCTCACACTTCAATGTTTGTGAAGCAATCAGAAGGATCCATGGTCCCTTGAAGCTTCATCTCTCAAAACAAGTGGGAGAATAAGCACCTCACCAAGCATAATAGTTGGATTAGATGACGCAAAAACACTTGAATCCATTGCCTCACATAAAGGGAGGATGTATTAAAGGTGAAGTCCTCATGGTTCTTATCACTCCAGCTCATTTCGATGTTTGTGAAGCAATCAGAAGGATCCATGGTCCCTTGAAGGAAGAACAATAACACTTCCTTGTAGTTTGTATACTCATATCCCTGTCCAGCAGTGACACAAACTGGTATGCAGTAATCATTCATTGCTCCAACAGTGTGGAAAGCCCATCTATCCAAAGCCATCCATGATCTAGGAAAGAAAAGAGAGACCAGCTGAAGTAGTAGGGGGGGGAAATCAGCAAAGATGCACTCAGTGATTATTTGAGATATTTGGGAGATGGAACTTTAGGACACTGAATACAATATCAAAAATGGGAAAGGACTGAGAGCTGTCACACTGGCATCTTAAAGCATGCAAGAATATTTTAGGTTCAGTTTTGCTTCAAGGACACTTGCAGAAGAAGGACACTCCTCCCCCCTCTGGCCAACCAATCAACCTCTGTCAACCTCTGATCATTCACTGGGTGCATTGGAAACATAGCTTCTGGTATTCACCCAAGCAAATGATATCCTTTAGAAGGACATGCTCTATTGCAAAGCACACCTCAAGAAAAAAGTGCCCACTGTTGATCTCCCAAACACCAAAGTGTTGGACAATCTCCCAGTAAGAAGCCATGGTTGCCAGCCACCACACAGGAATGGCTACTTGCTTCTTCAAAGGGATTGGCTTCCGCAAAATGATCAACTGATCAGCAATGTCAAAGAGTGTCTTCTTTGTCATCCTGAAATTTTCTAGCCACTTCCCATCTCCCCATTCCCACAAAAGGAGATCCTTCCACCAGTTGGTGTGGATAGAGTAGACCTGCTGGTGCCCGGCAGCTGTGGCTGAACCTAGGACAGCACCCATTGCCATTCTCCTCAAGTGGATGGTTTGTTGAGGCCCATAACCAACAAGCAGTGGACCTCTCTGCAACCAGTTCAGCAAGGCCCAGAGATTCCTGACCTTGCTAAGACAATGCCTTTTGGCTCCTGGCATACCTTTCCGTAAGGATGTAAGTACTTTGCAGGCTAACTAGGAGCACAGGGGTGCAGGACGAAGCAACACAAAGGTCCTGGGGAAGTGCCATTGTTCTGTTTGAACTAGAAAGTGCTAAGGAGGCAGCTTGGAGAAGCTAGAAAAGACAGAAACTGTGGCAAGAAAAAAAGGTATCTTTGGCCAGATTCCGCTGACGCACCCTTAAATAAGCAAGACCCTCTCCCTTTTTGATACCAACTTGCATCTTTGCAAGTCACGGGGAAACTAGGGAAGTACAGAAGAGAAACCCCAAAGGTGCTTTTTCAGGAGGCAACTGGACTCTTGGTTTGTTTTTTTTTGAAGACATTTCACTTCTCATCCGAAAAGCTTCTTCAACTCTGACTGGATGGTGGAGAACGGAAGGATTTATATATCTTGCAGAGAGCTGGTCATTTGCATTCTTTTAAAGAGTCGTTGAGGCCAATTGGAAGTTGTCCCAAAGCTGCTGAAAAAGCACCTTTGGGCCAACCATGACCTGGATGGCTGAGAGCCTCCATAGACATACAGAAGAGAAAGCGGACCTAGGAAGGCATTGGGCGCGCGCACCTCCCAAAGGACGCGGAAGCCGCTGGGATGAGTCAGTCTGCGAGCGCCCTCCCTCTCTGGGGTGGGCTACCGGATTCGAGGATTCGTCGAGCCCCCGCCTCGTCTGCTGAAGCCCTGGATGGGACGGCGGCGAGAAGTGGGACTGACTTGGCGCCGGCGGTCACCAAACTCAATGTGGCAGGTAAGGCGCTTGGTAATCGAGGGGAGGGAACCAGGGCCCGGTGCGTGAAGCACGGTCCGATCGCCCAAAGTGGCGGGGAAGGAAGGGAGGAAGGGAGGGAGGGAGGGAGGACTCGTAGCAGGAGCAGCGTCCGGCGACCTTCCTATTTGTGGTGTCTGTATCATGGCAGACGAGGTTCACCCCGAGTGATCCAGCTTGCTCTTAAGTGTGGAAATGCGGGTGTCCAAGATACCTCTGGATCCCCTCTGGAACCTCTGCAAGATCCATCCCGGTCCCCTCCCAAACCGGTTAAATAACAGCCCGATGCCACTTCCCCTTTTACAGCAAGAGCTGCTGCTGTCAAACCATATACCAGCCCCGTTTCCAAGTTCGGATGGTGGTTTTCAAGCAGGTTTAGTTCGTACTAAACCTAATTGGAATCGGCGTGCCAAAATGATTTGCTTCAATTGCGTGTCCGCTGGGCAACTTTGGATAGCGCACCATTGGGGCTTGCCTTCCCTACTACGGTTTCTTTCAGTACTGATTCTGCTTTTTTTTTCTAAAATGCCATGAAATGGAACGGGAAGGAAGGACTTTGGATTATTTATTAACTTATTTTATTTATAATTAATCAAATTTACATAGCTGCCCATCTTACCGAAGGCTACTCTTAATTCTCCCATTCTTCCATTGGCTGTTCGCAAAGGTGCAAAAATGTAGTCTGAGATCGAGCCCCAGGAGCATAGCGATAAAACGAGTTATAAATCCAAGGCTTAATTACAATTAACTAGATGGAAATTCTGCCAAGATTAAGGCTATAATAATATAGAAGGGATACAACATCTGTCGTGGCTCTGATAACAATCCTCACATTCTTACTTTTGTGAGTCGGTCTTAACTCCTGGAGACTAAATGGACAAGTCTATACAGTTTGCTGGCAGCACTTTTAGAAGTGGTTTGTTTACCCTTACATTCTTCTGAGGACTGAGAGGGACTGGCCCCAAATTACTCCACTGCCATTTGAACCTAATTCACAATCCTGGATTTTTCAGTGCCTTTAAGCACTACACCACTCTGGCTGTCACTTAGACCCAGGCCAAGCCCCAAATCTATATTGGCCCAGGAAGCATTGACATACCTGCACTTCCAGTGTCTGGATTGGTATCTGCTTTGTTGCCCTCCTTTCCATTTTTAACCTGGGTTTGTTGCAAAATATAAATCTCCCCTTCCCCTTATCCCTTCCAGTTTTTCAAGCAGTCTGCTTTCCTTCCTTTTGTTCTCTTTCATTCTTTCACATATAGAGTTGGATTCCTAAGGATGGATGCGCCACGCTCTTTGACTACAGTGCTGCTCCTGCTGCTGTGCTCAGGAGCAGCTGCCTTCCGGATATGTGCCTTCAATGCTCAGCGCTTTGCTCAAGGGAAGGTGAACAAACCTAGAGTCGTGGAGATACTTGTCAAGGTAGGTGGCCGGATAACACATGTGGCAGAGGGAGTCCCCGGCTATTTCCTTCCCCTTTCCCTTTGCAGCCCTTGAAAAGAAAAATATGAAAAATGAATTTCTTCTGCTTTTTTTAAAATTAAATTAAATCTCTAGCCCTTATGAAGGTATTGGCAAAGCCTGAAATATTTGTTCAGCACTTGAGATCAGTACAAAGGGACTGACTCATGGCCTCACAGCATGAATTACCCCAGTGCATAATTTGGAACACATGTGCAATAGTGCCATAATGTGCACGATGTCACTCTTCCCCCAGAGCTCTGGATACTCATGTATCAATGCTAGAAGTCCACTTCAAATGAAGAAGAATTGGGTACATAGCAATGCAAAAGTCTTGATTCCCTTGTTACTCATCACCACCCATATTCAATTCCTTGTCAAGAATATGTTTTGTTAAGTTAGGCTTGTTTTATTTGACTGAAGCTAAGATAAAAGCAATGGGAGCAGCTGGCAGCAATCTTTCTCTCCATCCTTCTCGCCTGATACCTGAATTCATTTCGCTGCTTTCTTTGATTCCAACTTTCAGGACAAGCTGCAGTCAGATCAGTTGGGTCATATTGAGCTGACTCAGTCACAACCAGTTTTCCCCAAAGAAAATACAAAGGGATCCAAAGGGGTTTAATTCTAATACTCTGCTCTATTCCCTTCTTTTACATCTACAGATCTTGGCTCGCTGTGATATCTCAGTCTTACAAGAAGTGATGGATGCAAAAGGAAAGGCAGTGCCTGCTTTGATGAATGCCTTGCACCAGTGAGTCTGACGGCTGCAGAAGAAACATGATCCAAAAGAGCAGAGGGACATAAATAGATGAGCAGGAATTGATGTTAGGGATGATTGAGAATTTGGAGTGATCAGATGCAGGATAGGAAAGCAGAAAGGACCCATTTAGGCAAGAAAGGTAGTCCAGATATTTGAAAAAGACAAGTAGCAATTGCCTTTCTCCTAGTCTGGATTGCCAGGAGGGAGGATCTGCACTGCAGGGGGGAAAACATGGAAAACCTGGTCAGGAGAAATAAAGTTAACAGAATCACAGAGTTGGAAGGGATCTTGGAGGTCTTCTAGGAAAAAACCCAATACCATTTCAGACAAACGATTGCCCAATTTCTTCTTAAAAACTCCAGTGCTGGAGCACCCATAACTTCTGGAGGCAAGCCATTCCACTAATAAATTGTGCTGTCAGGAAATTTCTTCTTATTTCTAGGTTGGTTCTCTTCTTGATTAGTTTCCATCCGTTGCTTTTTGTCCTGCCTTCAGGTGCTTTGGAGAATAGATTGACCCCCTCTCCTTTGTGGCAGCCCCTGAGATATTGGAACACTGCTATTATATCACCCCTGGTCCTTCTTTTAACTACCCATTTAAAGTTAAAACAGCTCCTCCCTAGCAATTCCAAGACTATCATTGTAGACGTATTCAAATAGTTGCTTTAGTTTGGCAAGATCAGGAGATTATCTAAGGGTAGAAGATTTCCACCTTTCCATAACCATGTACTGTATTCTTTGTTCAGAAAATAAAGCATGCTTAAATCCTATGGGATTTTCTTTTCCCAGGTTTGATGATCTACACAGCTACAGTTACCTCACCAGCCCTTTACTGGGGCGTGGAAATTATCAAGAACGATATGTATTCATATACAGGTATATTCACTTAGTCCAACTACCTGTAGCAATATTTATGATTGGATGTACATGTGTTGTTGAACATAAGGATAATAATGATGTCACCATATTTTTTAACATCTGTGTCAGATCCATTCTAATCCTGAATTCCTAAAGCAGAGCTATTTCTTGTGGGAACCAGATCAGGCCTTTGAGAAGACCTCAGCCAACACACATATGGTATGCTCACATATAAGCATTCCAAATCCATTTTATTTGTTTTCATATCACCTATACATACAAACTCACAATCTTTTTTCTCTATCCATTTCTCATCCATCTATCAAACTATTATATCTATCTTACTATCTCTCTCTCTCTCTCTCTCTCTCTCTCTCTCTCTCTCTCTCTCTCTCTCTCTCTCCCTCCCTCCCTCCCTCCCTCCCTCCCTCGATCCCTCCATCCATCCATCCATGTTTCATTGTATCCTCTGTCACCTTCAGACAAGGGATTTGTATGCAGATCCTTCCACCACCATGATTCACTTCCAAACATTAATAAATGCCTTCAGAGTCATACATCTGCTATTTCCCAATTATCATCCTTTAGACACATTAAGAGTCAACCGTACCCTTAAACCTGGAGGAAACCAAGATTAAGAAGCTGTAATGTTCCACAAACTGCATATCTAGCAAGGCCTCACAATTTAAGTTGCAGGAGGTGAAAATAATTTGGATCCATGGGCCTAGCTTAAGCACACCAGAGAGGTCTTGCAGCACAGGGCTGCTTATAGACCCCATGTGGCCAATCCTTGCCTTCAAATAATCTGCTTTTATTAGTAAAAGAATAAAGGACAGAACAATGTGCAAGGCTTGTCAGCAAGTTATGCCTTATAATTTATAACCCCGCCAACTCCCCCTTTATAATGCATAATCCATTAAGCAGAGCACACAATATAGCCATAAAAGATTGCTTCTTATAAGATCTAAAATATGGGTGAAAAAAAGAAAAGTGACAACATCAGCAGAGCCGCTGAACCAATACAATCTTATTCCCTTCTTTACTTGTAAACATGCAGTGGTCCATCCAAGGTAGGCGGAGAAATGGGAAGCTAGATGGGAACACAATGGGAACACAAAAAGAAGTATGGCAAAGAGAAACCGAATCCTTCCCCCATTGCACTACCGAGGAAAATTATTTTGGAGATGGGAAGAGAAATCCAGCTTGGAGAGAAATCTATTGTTGGGTCTTTTAATGCTAACTTTCATCTCCTTCCTGGGACCAAGCCTGTTTTCTTGTGTTTTCCACTTCCTGTAGGAATCAGAAGACTCAGATACTGGATTACTATACATACGAAGACCTGCATCCAGACCGACCTGATGTCTTTGCTCGTGAACCCTTTATCGCCCGTTTCAGCATGGCAAACAAAGGTGAGATCTCAGATTATAAATGAGGTTTCATTTCCAGCAAGAATAATCCAGATCTCTGGAGGAGAATGATCCAGAGGGAAGTTTCTGGCATTTTTTTTTCTTAAGCCCCACTTCAAAGACTCCTGCTGTTCTAGAGGTTTATAACCACCAGAATGCTCTGACCCAGAAATCTCTATTGTCCAATCTAGTTGAATCCAGAGACAAGTTTAGAAAATGAGTAAGTAGTACGGCTTCTCATAAAATGGTAGAGAAATGACTGCTCTAAAAGTGATATGCAAGATAGTGGTTGAGTAAGTCAGGACTTCAAATGCTTATTATTATTATTATTATTATTATTATTATTATTATTATTATTATTATTATTATTATTATTATTATTATTATTACTACTACTACTACTACTACTACTACTACTACTACTACTACTATTACTATTATCATTATCATTATCATTATCATTATCATTATCATCCTCCCTCCCTCCCTCCCTCCCCCAAAATGACAAAATATCAATTTAATACAATACAAATTTCAGGTGACAAACAAGATATTTACTCTAGAAGCGTACTGAGTAGAAAGTAACAATTGGATCTAAGCCTGTATCGGTAGCTTGTATACATGCTTTCACAAAGCACAACATAATTATCATATTTATTTTGGAGAAGGAAAACTGATCACCCTTGGAAAATACTGATATTTCCCTCACCCTTAAATCAAAACACACCACACAATAACAATAATGGAAACGGAGAACAAGAACCTCTGCTAGCATCGTATGCCACCAGCCGGCGGGACAATTATTTTCCTTTTATAAACAAATTGCAATGTCTTTTTCCTTTTTTAATACAATATAATTTCAGTAGGAGGCTTAGCATGCCAGAAGGTGAGCTGGCTCTTCTTGCTACCTCATCTTTCTTTCCTTTCCCAAGAATTTCCCTGGGTCATATAGAGCAGTGGGTGGGGACCCTTTGCTTTCCAGCATCTCTGGCCAGAGTTTTTTTAAGAAGAGTTTCAATGTTTTCCACGATACCTGCATTCGGAGGTTTGTTTCAAGTCTAATCAAAATAACCAGGGGAGATCAGAGGCTCCAAAGTTTAGCTTGTTCTCGCTGTTGTGGTTGAATTTGTTTCTTTATTTTTTTAATTTATCCTGTACTGACTACCCAGGTACCTCAGTGGTTCGTAACAATAATGTGTTGAGTTTGGTTTCCGAGCTGAGTGGCTGATCCTTACAGTTGTCTTTTTCTATTTGTGCTTCTCCCAAGAGCTTCCAGAGCTGGTGCTGATCCCACAGCACACAATGCCATCCAAGGCAGAATCTGAAATTGATGCTCTCTATGACGTTTTCCTTAATGTTCAGGAACGCTGGGCCTCAGAGGTATGTCAATGATTGATGCAAGAGGCAGAGAATTTATAGAAGGGCCCCAAACATTGGAGCATTTGCACTGCTATCCTCCTTCCCCCCAGTCCTTTTTCACTGCCAGTTGGCATCCCCAGCTACATTTGCAATATTAATATGACTTTGTATACATATATATGGATACTGTATTCCCATAAAAGAAGACTTAACATATTCATTCATACCAGCAGCATCCATGGGATCCTGCTACTTTTATCACAAGGAAAGCAGCAGTATGCCATCACAGCACAATCTCCATTCCTTTGAGGCATGCACACAACATCACAATGCACATAGGAAAGGGCAGGGCTTTTACTGCAGTGGTATGATGTGTTGGTGTTAGTCTGGCTGCCCCTCTCCTCCCATCCCATTCCCCCTGCCTAGCAAATGGTGTTGATTCAAACATGAGAGAAAGCATTTCTCTGGAAAAGTTGGTCTTGAAAATAACCAGGTTCCAAACTGCTCTTGTTTCAATCTCCGAGAAAATCTTTAAAATCAGTAGAAGTAGATTAAAACTAGAATTAAATTTGTGATACATGTAAAGCCAGTTAGTATCCCACCAGCAATATTTCAGCTGAATTTAAATTTGCTGGGCAATTCCGAGCAACGCCACATTAATATTGCTACCACTTCATGTGACTAGCTAGAATTTGCCATTTATCTAAAGTTTGAAACAAGCAGCTAGAAATAATTCTACCAATTCTGTGTCAGCTTCAACATTTTTCCCACTTACTTTATGGTAGTCATACACTGCCATTCATGAAAAGTCAGTACAAATGATCAAAACAAAGAAGGAAAATAAATTGCCCTTCTAATAAGTAACAGGTTAAAACAGCAGTTATTCATGCATGCCTCTCATCTTTACAACAAACTCGTAACACGGCTTCTGGTATCCTTCTGCAATGTGCGCTGATGGTTCTTGAAAAGGATTACAAGGTAACAAAGGTAAAGCACCTTGAACATTCAAGAGTAAAATAAAGTTTTGGTTGAACAATAGATTTCTTGGCATCTATTTAATGATGTATATCTCACTTTTATTTCTAAAAATCAAGGCAGCATACATTATGTTCCCTTCTCCTGTTTTTCCACCACAACAACCCTGTAGGTGGGCTGGACTGAGAGAGATAGACTGGCCCAAAGTCACCCAGCTGGCTTCCATGCCGAAGGCAGGACTAGAACTCACCATTTCTCTGATTCTAGTCCAGCCTTTTAATTGTCACACCAACCTGCTCTCAATATAAAAATGTTTTGTTATTGCCTTTTTGAAGATGATTTTCCCCCTTACCAGTTTAGCCTACAATCTTGAGGTTTCCTAGTGGTCTTCCATCCATGTTCTAACCAGGCCCTACTCTATATTAGCTTTTCAAGGTCAGCCATGTGCTGCCACTTGCTGATATCAAATGCTACTTATTATTCTTGTAAAACATCACCACATTGCTGGATGAAGATCTGTCAATAATAGGTGCAGCTGAGTCAATGCTAACTTGCTAATTCTACTAGTAATTTAATGATTTTGAAAGATTGGATGTTATTTCTCTTCCTTCCCATACAGGACATGATTTTCTTGGGTGATTTCAATGCAGACTGTGGATATGTGGCCAAGAAACGTTGGAAAGACATTCGCCTGCGCCAGAAACCCGGCTTTCATTGGCTCATTGGAGACCAAGCTGACACCACCGTTCGAGAGAAGACCCGCTGTGCCTATGACAGGTGGGATCAGGACTGCTTGGGTGCAGGACTTTGGCTCTGAAGGACAGGGTACTGCTCATCAGGAGGGCCCAAATGCAGTAGGGTTCCCTTATCATAAAAAAAGGAGCTTATAACATCCTGACTTTTTAGAATTATTATTTCATTGGATTGCCAGCAGGATCCAGCATCCTAGGTTGGGTCAAACGAACTGTTACAAGATCCATCCTGCTATAATCCATTTCTTCTTCCTAACAGAATTGTGGTTCATGGTGAAAGTTGCCTAGATGCTGTCGTGCCTGGATCAGCTCGACCATTTGATTTCCCCAAGGAATTTGGACTTTCTGAAGAAGAGGTATCAGTCACTTTTGGAAGGGAGACAGAAATTGATATAACTACATTCAGTAGAAAAAACTGTTTGTTTGTCTAGTTCATTTTGTTTCTAAAAAGGGCATGCAAAAGCTAAGGAAGTACAGTACAGAAAACATAACAAGACTAATCCATGTTAGTAAGGTTACATAAGTGCAATAAATGAAGGTGCAGGATAATATGGTGCAGCCCCAAAACAGAGAAAATTTAGTTATATTGAAAGCTCAGTGATTATTTTTAAAAGGAGGAAAATCTTTGTATATCCAATATATATTTAAAGATGGTGAGATACATCATCATCATCATCATTATCATCATCATCATCCTACATCAAGACTTGTGGTGGCACAGTGGTTAGAATGCAGTATTGCAGGCTAATTCACTGCTCATTGCCAGGAGTTCAATTCTCAACCGCTCAAGGTTGACTTAGCCTTTCATCCTTCCAAGGTTGGTAAAATGAGGACCTGGATTGTTGGGAGCAATATGCCTACTCTGTAAACCGCTTAGAGAGGGCTGTAAAGTACCGTGAAGCGGTATATAAGTCTAAGTGCTATTGCTATTGCTATCATCATCGTCATCATGTATTAAAGTGTATGCTGCTGGACTCACAATGATTCTGGGCTGCCAATCCTCACACAATAGGCAGGAAAATCATACATAAGATATACTTTTTTTCAAATACCTTGATCTGAAAATACTTAGGGCCTTCTTTATAAGAAATGGTGCTTTGATTACAGCTTAGAAACAATGTATGATACTTAGAGAGGTTAGTTTAGTAGAGAAAAGGGCATAATGACAACACATTGTGGCCGATTAGATTGTGACTTAATTTGTTATGTGAACCTTTTATCCACAAAAACAAAGTAAAGATCATCATCTGACCTTTTTGCATTGTGGGACCCAACCGCAAGTTTGATCCAAGAATTTTGTAGTTCAGGCACTAATTCTCTGTACTACGATAGGCAAAAGATATTTAAAGAGGGGTGCTTAAGTCACAGGAGACTGGAAAACCAATCCCTGACCACCATTTCTATAAAATGTCAAGATATGTTACATGACTCCCTCTAACTATATCATGTAATGTCTGAGAGATTATCTGTTTCTTCTGTTATTTTTTCTTCTTCATTAAGTTCCAGTTACATGGCCTTTGTCAATGATTAGGTTGATTTGGGATGATGGAAGCTATAATCCCACATCTCTGAAAAGCACTGGTGTGGGAAATATTGGGCTAAAGTGTTAGAATTGGTGATGAAGGCATTTCTTCCCTTGGGTACAGAGCAGAACATAGGAACATTTCTACTTCTGATCCTTTTTTCCCTCTCTTCACTTTCCAGGCCTTAGAGATCAGTGATCATTATCCTGTAGAGGTGGAACTTGTCTCATCTTGTAAGAAACTCCAGCCAGCTACTTTAGCTGGTCTTGTGTTGCTGACCATAATTGTGGTATCAGACTCAAGGTGTGGCATATGAAGCAAGAAGATGTCTGTTGTGCTAGTCCTAGAACGATACAGGTGGAGGCTTACCAAAAGGGTACTTATTACTCTCACAAGAGTACTTGAATCAATTATGTTGGCTCTAGATTCAGCTTTTATCTGTGGTGAACCCCTGATGTTGAGAAAGACTGGGAAATGGCCCCCTTGTCAGTCAACAGGAGTAATGATTTACCACCAGCTTATCAAGTACTTAGGAGGCGAGGGCTTGACAGCACAAGGAAACAACAGGCAATGACTTAATAGCTGGCCATCAACACCCCAGTCAACAACTAAAAAGCCATACACAACCAGGCACTATATAAATACCAGAGAACAGACCAAAGCACACACTCTGCTAGAGAGATATTCCCCAAGGATGGGCTCCAGCAGGAATCCAAAATCTTAGAAGACTAACCCTCTGATCCCGATGACCGACCCAGTAGTTCTCCCCAAAGTACCTACCTCTGGAGTGAGCCTTCTCATCAAGATTGGCAAAAGGACCCTTCAGGCAGTAAAAATGTATAAGGTTTTCTCGTCCAGTTGAGCATTGCTTGGACAAGGACTTTTTGAATTTGGGTATCTACTCATATTCTTGAACACCCTTACATGCTGACTTCTTGAGTCTCCTTCTTGATTGTATTTTGGCTCAACTACCTCAGGGATCCTGAATACTGGATAGCTTCTGTCTCACTCTTGCCTTCCGTCAGAAACTCAACCTGGGTTCCAGGTTACAAAGAAGGCTTCCTTGGGCCAGACTCATGATCTAAGTTCAAAAACCCTATGGTGCTGGAGAAGACTCCTGTGAGTCCCCTGGACTGCAAGGCGATCAAACCGGTCAGTCCTAGAGGAGATCAACCCTGACTGCTCTTTAGAAGCCCAGATCCTGAAGTTGAAACTCAAGTACTTTGGCCACCTAATGAGAAGGAAAGACTCACTGGAGAAGAGCCTAATATGCTGGGAAAGATTAAGGGCAATAGAAGAAGGGGACGACAGAGAATGAGGTGGCTGGATGGAGTCACTGAAGCAGTAGGCGTGAACTTAAATGGGTCGGACACGACTTTGCAACTAACAACAACAAATGGTCATAGGTCAAGGACTACCGGTAGTCTCCCTTCTTTAGTAGCCAAACAGGGAATCTGGCTACTAAAAAAAAAGAGTGGGCAGTGAATAACAAGGAGCGTAAACATCAGCACAAAATCATGGGAATAGGACACTTGATATTTTTCCTCTTGACTCAAAGAACGTTTCATAAAAGAATGATGCATATGTGTTGTGTCTGTGTGTGTGATTCCAACCTTTCCCACTGAGCAGTGGGAGATTTGTTTTTTATGGTATAAATATTATATATATTTACAGCAGAAGGTAAGCTATACCAATATCTGAAAATTGCCAGCAAAAACAACATTGACATTTACATGTTGGAGTTCAGTTCCCTGTCCTGCTTAAAAAAAATAAATCTTGGCCTAAATAAAAAGGGACAAACCCACAAGTAGAATTTTCCACATGAATCTGTAAGTTTCCTAAGTCCTTCATTTATTGCTTTAATATGCATCTTCATGATAGATCTGTCACGATAAAGGAAAACTTAGGAGACTTAGATCATTATGAAAAAAAATCATTTTCGGCAATCTTAATGTATTTCCAGTGATTCATATATTTCAGCGCTTTCTGCACTTTTACTGCTCTCTAAAGTTAAGCACATGATTAATTTATTGCAATTTTAAATTTTAACCAAAAAGGTGTTGCCAGTTAATGGACATTGAGATGGATGGATATTTTTGTGGATTTTATATCAGGTACTGGTTTTATAGTTCCACTGTTTATTTTGTAAAACTGGTGTCAAAAATTTTAAGGAGTCTGGCAATATATAAATATGTGTAACTAAGGAATGAACACTGGTTTTAAACAGGAACTTCTTAATTCTTTCTAAATGATTCCCTGGTATGTGTTGAAGATACTCTGGCTTTGCACTATTTTCAATCACTGTCACTCCTTATTTATGGCTTAGCTTTATTCTCATGACTAAATCTTGTTTTTTGATTTTGTTCTTCCCCATTAGTTGCAGTATTTTTAAACAACACCATTAATGGAAAATATAATGGAAAGCTATGTTCCCAGCACAGTTGTTCAAGAAGAATCTTGGCTAAGGGGTCCATGGTGCTCTCTGAGCTTGCTTTTTTTCTTGCAGACGTTTCATTACCCAAACTAGGTAACACCATCAGTGGTAGTATGAAATGCTGTTTGCTGTCAATTTATATTCTGGTATATAAACTGACAGCAAACCCCACTCCTTACTACCGTAGCACTCATAATGTTACCTAGTTTGGGTAATGAAAAATTTCAATCCTGAGCTACAAATATTATCCTTTATTAGAATCTTACTTGATGTGATAAAATTTATGTAAGCATGCATATGCATACAAGAGAGCCAGTTTGGTCTAGTGCTAGAAACTGGGACTCAGTTAATTCTAGTCTTGCCTTAGGCCAAACCAGCTGGATGACTTTGGGCCAGTCACTCTCTCTCAGACCTAGGAAGGAGATAAGGGTGAACCAGTTCTGAAAAACCTTGCTAAAAACCTGCAGGGACTAATCCAAGCAGTCACAAGGAGTCCACACTGACTTGAAGGCACACACACACACAGGTGCATACTGTACAGCCATACACATATACATGTTTGTAATACCAGTGGGTGTTGTTATGCTTACACTGTACATGCCCAACTGCAATTGTACCATTAAACTGGATTGACAATCTTTATGAAAAACTAATAAAAGTATTTATTTGAAAAGGTGAATTGTCTAATGTGGTTCATTCAGCCTTCCTCAGCTTGAGCACTAATGGGATTGCATTTCAGCACATCTAGATGACAGTAGGGTAGGGGGTGGAGATTTCTAAACAGAGTTTTAAAACAAAGTTTGGGTCCTACCAGAATGTTCCTGAGGTCTATCCATAGGGGATGCTAAAGAATCAGGAATGAGATGGAAGGGGACTAGCCCAGTGAAGTCCAGCTTTTTCTCTACAACATTGTTCCATACCTAACTCAACATGCAGCACAAAAGGTGGTGTCCTCCCCCTTGTTGATGTGGCCATGTAGTTTTCTGCACCATTGTTTTCCTCCTATGCAGCTGGAGACACACATGCTCTCTCCTGCGATCAAATACATACCAGGCCCATGGCACAAGCCTTCATCTTTCTGCTTCTCTTGCTGGACATGATGCTTGTGGCTGCATCTTTCAAAATCTGTGCTTTCAACATACGAAGCTTTGGACAAGCCAAGGCAGCCAACCAGAAGGTGATGAGAGCTCTTGTCCAGGTGAGTTTATGATTGGACTAGTGCAGAGGCCCCCAACCTTTTGGGCACCAGGGACCGGTTATGTGGAGAGAGGTTTTTCCGTGGACTGGAGGGGGCGTGGTTTTGTGTGCTGTCTGCATCCTGCGGATGTGGCTTTGCTTGTTTGTGCAGCCCAGTTGCTGGCATGCCGCGGCCTGGTATCGGTCCACAGACTGGGGGTTGGGGACCCCTGGACTAGTGGGTGGAGGAGGTGGTGACAACAGTGCAGTGAGAGAGGCTGGCACTCAACCCAGATCCAGAAATGATCCAGGGACAGCTGGAACAGTGAAGGGCAGAAATGGACAAGTCCTCCTTCAGGCATGGAAGTTACAGGGCTGCTTTGGGTCAGTCACTCTCTCAGCCCAACCCATCACACAGGGTGGCTGTTGTGGGGAAAAATGAAGGAGTGTGTTTTCCACCTTGATATCCTAATGAAAGGTGAGATATAAATCTAACAAAGAAATAGAAGTGTCCTCATCCAATGTGGTTGTGACAGAGGTCAGGCATAGTATGCAAACCAAAAAGAGAAATGCAACAGTTCATTCATCAATTGGGAAATACCACATCTTAAAATAAAAATTGACACCACTTCAGCTAAGTAGAAAGCATATTACTATAAGGCAAGTGGCAGTGTTTGAACAGCTAGGAAAGGTCTCTGATTCGGTTTGGGTCTCTCTGGGTCTAGCAGAATTGGAAAGTGCTGCAACTGCTTTTATATTTTGGTGGTTGGAGCTGTGTTTGTCAGTCTGGGATTGGTGAGAGCTACAGTTGGAGGTATGACTTTTGCAAAATGACCAGGAGCAGGATTTTCCTCCTGTGATTTCAGAGGGAATTTGGATTTACTTTTACCTATTTTTTTTGTAGATTTTAGAACTTACCCTGCATTTTTAGGATTCATGATACACAAAGGTGGGAAATTGTTGCTATTTTTTTCAGCAAACAGGAGGAAGGGATTGGGGAGGTGCAAACAAGGAGTTTGGGAGTCTGGAGAAGCTCTAGGACTTCTTTTGCTTGCCAATCTTGGAGTTGACAGTACTGAACCTGGTTGACCAAAGATCAGAAAGTTGCCTAGGCTAATACATATCAGTCATATTTAGTTAACCAAAAGAATTTCTTCTTTTAACAAGATTGGGATGATCTAATTCTTGTCAATGAATGTTCAATGAACTATTATGAGATACAGCATCATGAAAAATTGGAAGAGGAAGTGAGGAGACTGAGAAAATTAGGGAAGGGAGAGAAGATATAAACAATCAGGAGACCAAAGACAAGTCAGCTGGCAGTTTATTTTATAAAAAGCTACTCATCACAGGTAGTGAGAAATTCAGGAAGAAGCATTTGAGCTCATTCAAAGAGACTGTTTTAGCGAACTCGGTTTAAATAAGGGTGGGAAATTCCTCTTATGGTTTCCAAGATTTTGCATGTTTCCCAACACCAGCATTGAAGACATCTTGCAGAAGTCCATGTGATCCTTTCTTCCTTCTGCTTGCCTAGCTGTGTGAAGCTTGACAACATTTATCACTTATCTTATGGGACACCAGATAGCTTTGTAGTATTGGCCTATGATGCTTTAATATTCCACGCAGCATCAGATTCTTTTGCCAATAATATAGAGCAGTTTTTTCAAACTTAGCAACTATAAAATGTGTGGACTTCAAAATTCCCAAGACGCTTTGGTGAACATCTCAAGTCCATGAACGCAGTGGATGGGCATAACAATAACAAGTATATCTCTTTTCTCATTACCAGATCCTGTCTCGTTGTGATATCTCTGCTGTGCAAGAAGTGCGTGACTCCAAGGGACTGGCTATTCAGATGCTACTGCGGAAGCTCAATAGGTACTAGAAAACACTTCTAATCATTATGTACCACAGAATAAGGTGATCTGCAGATAGTAAAGCAATAGGGTGAAAATGCAGGATCACACTTTGAGCAGTGCACCAGAGAAAGAAAAGCACTAGACTAGGTAGTGCTGATATTGTACCTATTATTCATATAGGTTGTTTTAATAGTGGCAGGGGAAAAAATTCTTAAATTTTCTACAACTGAGCTGCAGCCTTATTCCATTCCCCAAAGCTCTATTTCTGAGCTCTGGAATTTGAGTGTCATCAAGGACAGCACATTCTTATTTAATGAATTGCAGCCTTTTTACATCCAAAGGAGGACACTTATAGAATGTTCTTCTGAGATGACAATGTTACTGTGGCCGTCCTTAAATACTTTGCATATTTACTTGGGAAGTAAATGTGTCTTGGCATTCTTCTGTATGCAGTGAAATATATTGTATTGATTCTAAAACAGGTAGAAAGCAACCATAGTTTTTGGGACAAAATATTTCCCTGTAAATATTAGTTTAGAATCAGGGAAAAGAGAAATCACCACCATCAGTTTTATCCCTTCTTTTGGAAGAGGTAATAGGCCATTTTACTTAAACCTGAAATGAACTATAAAGTCTCAATGGGAAGGTGGCATCTAATTTTTTTTCTCCTTTCCCGTCCCCCATATGGCAGGTATGATCCTTCTCACCGCTACAGCTGCCTAGAAAGCAAGAGACTTGGACGAAGCAGCTACAAGGAGCAGAATGTCTTTGTGTATCGGTAATATTTGTGGATCTGAAAATAGCATTAAACCAGAATTTCCAGAACCAAAGCCAGCACTGGCTGAAGTATCTGTTATCAAACGTTATCCTGTGTATCGACATTTAAATCCCAGTCTTTATTCCCTAATATCTCTGTCCTGCCTATGATTTATCTTCCCAATAGATTTGTTTATGATTGATTATGTGCCATCAAGTTTATGTGAATTCTTAATGATCACATAAATGTAGATAAGATTTTCTTTGGATGGTTTGTCTCCCATCTGGTCCTTCAATAGAACCTTGGGCCATACAATCCTGGGTAAGAGCAATTGTCCAAGGTGATTTGGGGAAGGTTGTCTCAAATTTAATTCACCTTCATGTATGATGTAATGGTGAGTTCTCTGATAAAAATTCAGATAACTAACAGTTGTGTGAACAACCAGCTACAATTCGCTACCATTGAAAAAATCTCTTCTCTGGATTACAGGAAAGTTAATTAAAGGAAACTAGAAAAGTCCTAAGGAAGTAGGGAGTGAATTGCTTCTCAATGGGAAATAGTACAATTACTGAAAAATCTTACATTCCTTTCACTTCAATAAACCTTGTTAAAAAGATTCTGTGAGAATCATGCTTGGACAGAAAGACTTTGAGTTTGGGGCAACTGCCAAAAGCCTGATGTACCAAGGACACATAACCACAGGAAGAGTCCATAAAGTCTTTTGGATAATGAATCCTCATGGACACAACCTTTTTATCCTGATTATTTTTTTCACTGACAGTCGGGATGCTGTGTCAGTTATGGCTCAATGTCAAGTTGGAGATGAGGATGCCAGAGATTTTGCTAGGGGACCCTTTGCTGTGCGTTTCCATTCCCCATACACAGGTAAGCTTTAACGGTTCTGTTCATAAGTCTAAGAACTTGTTCTGGGAAAAAACTTCTTAAGATCCAGGACCACACTGGCCATCCAGCGAGATATGGCAAGAAAAAAAATATATATCAAGAACTGAAATCCTTGTATTTTGTAACCACAACTTTACAGCTCTGAAGGAATACACAATTGTAAGAAATATAACCCAGTAAATATGGTGGAAACTGTCCCTGAGTTTTTTTGGCTAATTTTTCTCTTCGCTGTAGGCTAGAGCATTAACTAATAATGGAGGAGTTAGTGGGGTTATAGGCAGGATATTATGTATCCTGTGCTTAAAAAAACACATTGGAGTAATAATTTAGCATCCTATCTTGATTGAGGTATTCAATAACATCCAAGTAGGTTTTTTTTGGACCAGTATTGATAATTTCAGTTATTAAATAGAAAAGCTTAATATAAATCTAAAGAGTACTGTGTAATATTCTTGAAGTATAATATACTAAATGCCCATAATTATTTGCAAATAACGAAAAGGACAAAAACAACACAAGATACAGTTGTGCCGTGACATACGTTTATTTTGGGTCCAATTTTTGTAACCATGAGGAAGGGCTTCCAAGCTGTTTGGAGATGTACTGCTTTTTTATGCCTTCACCTGTTGCCTGCTGTAGTCCCTGCAATTTTCTTGGCAACTTTTTCAGAAGTGATTTGCCCTCTTCTGCCTCCTACGGCTGAGGGAAAGTGACTGGCTCAAGGTCGCTGGCTGAGGAATTCTGGGAGTTGAAGCCCATAAGTCATAAAAGGGCCAAGTTTGAAGACCCCTGTGCTAAGGAGAGTACTCACGGACTGGTTGTTAGCTCGGTGCCTTAATCGCTACACCAAGCTGGTCTCTGGAAGTGTATTGGTAGATGTGGACAAATCCTTATCAGCTCACAGTTGTCTGTATTGCTATCACCTCTCCACAGTTGCTTCAGACTTTGTGCTAGTCTTGCACCATACCTGTCCTCGGGAAGCTGCCCATGAGCTTGACCTGCTATTTGAAGTATGCATGGAACTAATGCACTGGTGGAAAACGGAGGTATGTTCTGGCAGCAGGAGGTGGACATTGCTGAACTAGATGAGCCAATCATTGTTCCCAACCTGCCTTCCTGCTGCATCTCAACAGAATGTGATGGTGCTGGGAGACCTGAATGCAGGTGGTACCTATATCCCAATGAGCGCATGGGCCAGAATCCGCCTGCGCAATCATCCTGCCTTCCATTGGCTTATCAGTGACCAAGAAGATACCACCGTCAGCCACCGCACTTGTTGTTCTTATGACAGGTACTAAACTGCAGCTTTCAAGTTCAGCCATCTGCTTTCTCCAACATGTTTCCATCATCCCACAGACAACCCTATCATTGTCAGCCTTTGAGGCAGGCAGTCATTACTAACAAGGTAGGGCTGCTCTGCTGAGTAATCTATTGAATTAAGGTTAGAAATGCAGGCAGAACACTTCTGAACCCCTTCCCCAGTCAGGCCTACCAGTCCTCCAGGAATGTTACACTGTTCTGCTTCCTGACACAAATTGGCCATCTGTATAGTACCCCAATCATCTTGCTGAAATCTGGAAACAGAGCCCAACATTCACTGTTTTCCTCTTAGAATCATAGTTCATGGAGAAGAATTACTCTCTGCTGTTGTGCCCGGATCAGCAAAGGCATACAATTTCACAAAGGAACTTGGATTGTGTGAAGAAGAGGTTAGTTGACTTGGTTATTCTCTTTCCTAAACAAAAAGTAATATTTATATTCGGCAAGCCAGAAAAACCCAGACTTTCTCATTTTTATAGGCCTTAGAAATCAGCGATCACTATCCTGTGGAGGTGAAGCTAAAGCTTGCTCCAAAGACCCAGCAGGAACTCTAAATTGTCCACTGGCCTATTATATAAAGTGAAGGGAAATGAGGGAAGTAAGTAATCTCTAACCTACAGTAGGTCCCTACTAAATAAAAGTCAACTGGAGCCCAGGAGTAGGATGTTGTCAACTTGTATGTTGCTTTAGTCATAGAAGTGAGCATCACTATCATTTGCTTCTCATTGTTTCGAATCTCAGTGTAATTTTTATTGCTCACTTTCAGTGTTGATCACCCCCGAATACTGAAATAATTCCTGGGATTCCATTCCATTGCCTTGAATAGAGAGAACTGGCCCATTTCTTCCAGTTCTAACAATGAACTTCTTTTGGGTGGGTCCCAGGCAGTTCTGCCATTCTCACCATCCCATCTCTTTCCCCGGACCAAAGTCTGAAACTTCACCTGGGTGATCTCTTAAAAGAGTCACAGATGGGAAAACCTGATTTCAGTGTTGGGAAAAACAAACCCTCTTAAGAACAGCAGTTTGGGACTACAGATAGTCCTGGGCACAACTGAGCTCAAAATTTCCATTGCTAAGCAAGCAGTTGTAAAATGAGTTGTGCCCCCTTTTTTTGACCTTTCTTGCCACAGCTCTTAAGTGAATTGTTCAGTGAATCTGGCTTCCCCATTGACTGCTTGTCAGAAGGTTGCAAAAGGGGATCACGTGACCCTGGGCCACTGCAACCGTCATAATGCATGCCAGTTGCCAAACGGCTGAAGTTTGATCAGGTGACCCTGGGGATGCTGCAACGGTCGTGTGAAAAAATGGTCATAAGTCATTTTTTCCAGTGCCGTTGTTAAGTTCAGTCACTAAACAAATGGCTATAAGTCAAGGACTATCTGTATAGTGGAGCCAGTTCTCCAAAGACAGTTCTGCTTTGCTGGATGTGTTCAAACAAAAGAAAGAGTGTCCATGGAGATTCTCAATCATCCAAGTCACGGTTATCCCAAAGGTGTTTTCTTGAAAGTCCAGTTGCCTTTCCAGCTCTTCTATATGCAGTAATAGTTATTTGTTATTATTTGCAGGAACAACAGCTTTACCACAAGTATGTATCAAGGCACTGGCAGCAGAATAGGCTTTTGTGGTCCTAAAGAAGTGTGCTGGAAGTTTATTACCTATATTTGAGACTGAATAAAAATGTTTGATTGGTATAGTATTTGATAAACATTCAGCTGTCTGAAACTCTCTAAATTAAAATGCTACTGCCGATCTTGTTAATAGGCTTAATGTGCAATTAAGATGTTACTTAACAAGACATTTAAAAAACTCCACAAAATTCAATGTATTGCTTTACACTAAACAGTGAGTAGTTTTTTAGCCTGTTAGGCTAAAATGAAATTATCTTGTGACTCAGAACTCAACACATTGTATGAACTAGGATTAAATTATAAGTTGCTTGACAGCTGCTATGTTGTGTGAATATAGGTGTCTCATTAGTTTAGACTTAGGATGCTGTACAAACCAAACCATCACATCAGTTTTTAATTCATATCCTGTGTGAAATCAGCCATTCTGGCTCTTAGAATAGGATTCATGGTATACCGTGTTGTGTGAACACACCATTTTACCTAATAAACTGTGGTAAAAAGAACTATGGCTTAAGTTTAATTTGTGGTCTAGTTAACATATTGATTTAAAGGGGAGCATTTTAAGTAGCTTTTTCTGTCCAAGTAACAGGGGAGACAGATCAAATATTTTCTAATAGCAGAAATGTCATGTTCTTACATGATATCTTGCCCTTCACGTTAGGATATGAACAGGAAGTAACTTAAAATTTGGAACTCCTTATGAACCATTTTTTACCATTTACATTTTTTTCAGTTTGTCAACCTTGTTTTTAAATTGTCTCTATTTCACTTAACCAGTGTTGGTCCCAGAATGCCTTGCTATCCTCAGTACAGAACAATTCCCTGATAGTCTAGTCTAGTGCAGTGTTTCTCAACCTTAGTAACTTTTCAGTTGGCTGGGGAATTCTGGGAGTTGAAGTCCACACATCTTAAAATTGCCGAGGTTGAGAAACACGGGCCTATTGATTAAGGCACCAGAATAGAAACCAGGAAAGTTTGACTTCTAGTCTCACTTTAGGCATGAAGGCTAGCTGGGTGACTTTGGGCCAGTTGTTTTCTCAACACCTCACCTCACAGGGGTTGTTGTTATCGGGGAAATAGGAGAATATTAGTTATATCCACCACTTTGAGTTATTTATAAAAATAAAGATGGGATAAAATCTATTATCCCAAGATAATAGGCAACAGACCTTGCTTGGCTCCAGCAACATAATTCTCCCTCAACTATGACAGAAAAAGAACAAATGCAACTCTGATTTTGGCAAGTGCTTATTCTGAGCTCAGTCTTAGCAGCACCTGGCTGACCTCAGCTGAAGCTAAGCAGGGATGACAAAGTATGACTTGGAAATTCCAAAACTGCTGGCAGGACTACATTGTCCATCCAACAGTTAAGTTCTGTAATATTTCAATCTAAAGGTAGTTATCTAAATCTTGGGATGATCAAATATGCAATTGGCTCTTAATTAGCTCTCACTGTAGAACTTGAATGTATTTTGGCTTGTATGAAAATTAGAAAGCCCTCATGGGACTTTAATAGTAATTAAATGTCCACATCTGAGTCTTCTCACACTTCTGCCAAAGAACTACTATATTACCGAAGAGTAAAGTAGCTTTTTCGGTCTGGAGATTTAAAATACTTAAACACATTTTAATAGCTGTGCCGCTAGCTATGTATTCAACTACTAGTTCTTGGAGCTAAGTAACTTCTCATTTATCCCGATGTTCAGTTGTTATGTCGTGTCTGACTCTTCATGACTCCATGGACCAGGGCCCGCCGGCCCACCCCCGTCCTCTACTGCCCCTTGGAGTTTGCCTAAATTCATGCTCATTGATGACATTATCTAAATATCTCATCCTCTGCCGTCCCCTTCTCCTTTTGCCTTCAATCTTTTCCAACAACAAGGTCTTTTCCAATGAGTCCTTTCTTTTCATTAGGTGGCCAAAATATTTGAGCTTCAGCTTCAGTCCTTCCAAAGTACAGACTGGGTTGATTTTCTTTAGGATCGACCAATTTGATTTCCTTACAGTCCAAGCGATTCTGTCTTCTCCAGCACAATTCTTCAGAGCTCAGCCTTCTTTATGGTCCAACTCCTACAGCCATACATTACTACTGGGAAAACCATAACCTTGACTATATGGACATTTGTTTGCATATATAAAAAAGGAGAGAGATAAACTTGCCGTCTAAATTTGCCATAGCATTCCTCCCAAGGGGCTGTCAGCTTGTCCCAACTTAGATATTTAGGAAAGAAAAACCCTCAGCTCCATTCTTTGAAGTGAAAAGTTCTTTTACTTTTAAAAGGCCTGACAGGGACGTCTTTTAATTTCATGACTGCAGTGATCTTGGAGCCCTAGAAAATAAAATAAAAATCTATGACTGTTTCCATTTCTTCCCCTTCTATTTACCAGGAACTGACAGGACCGGATGCCATGATCATGATTTTTTTAAAGCAAACTTTTGCACTCTCCTCTTTCATCAAAAAAGAGGAGTGTGCAAAAGCTGGCTTGAAATTCAACATTAAAAAGACTAAGACTATAAACGCCCTTCATAGATCGCTGCCTTGTGTTGAAGACGTTTGTGCAGCTCAATCAAGCTATGAGCTGTGCCATGCAGGGCCACCCAAGACGGACAGGTTATAATGGAGTGTTCTGATCAAATATAGTCGGCTGGAGAAGAAAATGGCAATTTACTCCAGTATTTTTGCCAAGAAAACCCCATGGACAATATCAAATTTACCCCTAGCAACCCTCAATCACTTAAAATTTCCTGTTCTGAAGGAAGTTTTTTAAACTGAACAAACTAAATACTTAATTTAATGATCAGCAAACTCCAGCAGTCTATATAGAAAGTAGCTTATTACATTGGTCTGTTGCAAAGATCAGATTGGTAACTTTACACATAAGGCATTTCAGGCTATTTTCAGGCATTCCCACTGAAAATAAATTGTTCTAAAACCACAGAAGAATCCTATCCGCATTACCATCACACGCGTACATACCTCGCTGAACAGAAAGTGGGTCAGCGCCTGCGCACTACTTATAAATGTCACTGCTCTAGGATGTCTGTGACCATAGGTAAGTTATCACTGGATCCTGTGCTGGGAGGGGATTCCATAGAGAGCACACCATAGAGAAATGGGATAGACTAATCCCAAATACTACCCAAGTGGGGTTACAGTCTTTGTGTTATGCTGTTGGGAAGGGGGGAGGGAGGAGGAATTATGAAGGTGACAATGTGATGGGCGTTACCTTTGATACAGTCGGAAGATTTATGTTGTTTTAATCCATGCCAATACTGGGCTTCTGTCCCTTCCTTACGTATGCAGGTAACAGATCAGGAAGAGAAATTTGCTAATGTGAGAATTACAACTTTTCAAAGATACCCCCCTTCTTACCCTAGCAGTAACGATCACACAGTAGGTATACAGAGCTGTTTATTTTGATGCCTTTTCTGTCAAGAAATTAACACAATTGTCCTCTAGTTAGATCAGACTTTCATGCTGCATGTAAGGCACGCCATTTATCTAGAGGACCCCTGTTGGGTATGTATTTAACTCCACAGCCATCAGGGATAAGGCGCTTCTCAGACACCATTTCTTCAAACTCATCAGCATTGAATTTGGTGAAGCCCCATTTCTTAGAAATATGGATCTGGAAAAGGGGAGGAGAGAAAAAAATGAGAAGATTGGCCAGGAATCCAATCTGCACTGAAAAGTCTGAATGAAGCAGCCTATACAATTGTCTTCAAGGAGCTAAGAGTCACAAATGCCTACATTCTCATTCCATTTAGAGGCAGTTACAATAACATGCAAATAAGGCAGGGAAGGAATGGAGAATATGTCTCTTGGATTGCAACGGACATAGGAGGCGTTTATCAGCAGCGGACATAGGAGGTGTTTATATTTTCTTCTCTGTGCTGAATTGTATTTGTGTTTCCCACATACT